CGTATTCCGGTAGACGTAGTTGAAAGAGTTCCTGTTATAAAACACAACGTAGTGCCCAGGTCGTTTTGTTTCAGTTTCTACTCTTTCTAAATTAGTAGAGGACCCCGATCCCGAAGCCGAATAGGGTTGGTTGTTTCATCTAATGAGAATGATTTCAACTGACTCCAACATCTTGATCTTTGTTGAATACAAATTGCCAGCGGCGGATCTGAAGGATCTGTGACTGTGTGATCCTCTCGTTGTTATCTTTGCGGTCTCGTATGACGCAGATAGAGGATCTGTATCGGCAACGGCATGATCTCGTCTGTTAATTCCATTAGTATGTGTGTGGATGGGATTGCTCTACTATCCGGGAACGCGAGCCGTAGTGTGTGCCATCAGGTCGAGCACAGAAGCACCAGTATCAAGGATCTGTGACTGTGTGATCCTTTCGTTGTTATCTTTGCGGTCTCGTATGACGCAAAACGAAAACAAACCGAAACTACCAACATTATGGAACAAAGACACAAGACGCAGCGTTCCCGTGATTTCGATTTCTATAAACCCCAAGCCATGTCGTGGTCCAAGTCCATGTCCTTAGCCTTATCTCCATCCTCGAAAAATAGAATTAGGAGATATAGTTTCATCTCTGGACGATTTGTCACTGTCACGAATTTGGCATTATAAAAACTTCTTTGTTCTAGTTCCGCGTTATGAGTATGGGCTGTAATTTGTTCTCAACATCAGCTAACCTAAAATCTGTACGGCTTTGGAAAGACTACTCTGCTAGTCCACAAACGCTGCTACTAGTCCACGGAAGTAAAAAATAAGTGCCATTTGTTCTTCATCGCTGATGATGATTCTACTTCTTGACGATAACATTCATCGATATGACTCGTGCACGCTTATGCTTAAGCGTCTAAGAGTTTCTGTGTGTTCATCAAGTTCGTTTCCAAATCTGCATCCAGCAGGATTCCTTGTCTCACTTTAGTTAATTTCAAGCATGCAGGCTGTAAACTACCTACAAAGGCATACTTTATACTTACTTTCACAACTGCTGATCATGTACCTGTAGAAGTATTAGTAGTAGTTTCCTGGTAGGTGTTTCGACCGCTGGTGTAGGAAAGAATCGCGGGGACAGTCAACGTCATCTGTCGTTCAGCGATGGATGGCCTACGAGTGTGGCCCTTTTTCGTCCGGCACCAACGCGTCGCGATCATCATGCTGTTATACTCGTAGTATATCAAATAATATACCCAGATCAGATAGTAGACCGTAGATGATAGATATACCCAGATCAGATATACCCATATTTATCAGATATACCCAGATAAAAAGTCTACTGGTATAGTTCCGTGTGTACCCGCGAAGCAAGTTGCTACGCAACGCGCACGAACTAACTAAGAGCTCCTTGCGTATAATTGAACTCCTAAAGGATCTGGGATCTTCGCGCGACTAACTATAAAATAAGCTGCATCCATGTCTCGAAGCATACGCTGAAACATGTCAGCCGCAGCGACTCCAAAGTCCTTGATCGAAGGCAGAAGGACGAAATCACCCCTAAGAGAGCAACGGTATTGTTCTTCCGTAGGTTGTTGTATTAATGTGCATTGCAGCGTGCGATCGTTCCCATTTGCATCCGATGAGCTTATCTCTAATGCCTTTTCCTTTTCTACAGCGGCTGCGTCTTTGATAAAGATTCTCACGTTCTCCACCCTAATCTGGAGTTTAAATATGTAGTCGTCAACATCACGAACTCTCTTCATCTCTGCATACTGCAAAGAGACATTGACCAGTGGAGGTGTCACAGTCCCACAGTCCTTCTGATGACGTAGTTGACCTTGAAGATGACGTTGCAACGTCTCGGTTAGCTCCTTGCCTAGCCTCCCAGCTACATTCTCGTTGTTCTCCAGCTTTCGTAGTTGAGGCAACCATTCAACGAGCCTCTTGTCCGCGTCGTGTGACGCCTCATCTTCTAGGAGGTACGACGTCGCGGTCCCCACGTTCGAAATGGCGAATTTTTCTCTCTGCGATACCGACATCCAGCCATAGGGGTCGCAGTGGCTAAACATTACGCTTCCGCCGTCTTTGAGATTACTGGCATGCATCACCTTCTCCAGCAAAACCTTCCCTGGTCTTGGTTTCCTTAGCTCCTCTTTGAGCTCTGGGAGGTGACCAGAGCAAGCATCGAAAATAGGTGATAGAGGAAGCCACCCGTTCTGCACCGCACGAATTAGAATACACTTCTCAATGAGATCTGCTGTGATCTGGCCCGAGCCGCCGCCCGAGCCGTCGCCCAAGATGTCTAGAAAGGAGCTCTTTTTTTGACCAGTTTGTAGTTGATGTTGCGGAAGAATTGTTGGTTCACCATCTACTTGCGGAGCGACTTGTTGTGGGGCCTCAGCAGCAGCAGCAGGACTGTTGTCGTTTCGCCCCTTTTCTTTTTGTGCTACCCACACCCAGTCTCGGATCCCACGCAGAGGATCTTTAAGGAAGCCGTGTATTAGAGGAGCAGCATCATGAGAAGTTCAAGTTGTAGTTCAAACTGGCGAATAGTAAGTAGTTGCTCATTCAAACTGGCGAATCATGCGAAGTTGTTCAAGAAACTAGCATTATGTCATAGTCATTAGTGGATGACTGGAGGAAGAGAGGGACCTACAACAAAATTATAACTGTGGCTGTCAATGTCAGATCTGAGCATGGAGGTTTGTCTTAACTCGAATTTCTCGTCCAATGCGTTTAGGTTCCACTTCACAGTGCTTTGGTTGTCCTCCTCGTTGCCTTTCCGAGCAACGAGGCGCTCTAGCGAGATGTACTCGACAAGCTCGCGTGCAAGTTTTATCTTTTTTCTTTCTCCCGAAGCTGAAGGTGAAGTTGAAGACGAAGAGGTTCCTGCTAAAGACAATGCAGTGAGGTCAGTAGAAGCAGGCGCCTCGCCATCCTCTGCTACGATGCCTTTTTGTTTATCTGCTGTAGTGGGAGAAGAAGCAACTCCAGCACGAAGATCTTCTTCTTCTTCTACATCGATGACCTTGTTCAATCTTAGAGTCAGCTTGTACCCATCTGGGCCCGCCCGTCGTCTCGACCCCTTTCCCATGAAATACAAGGGGAAAGGGTATCGAGATGCCGAGAAAGATGGATAAAAGCTGTCCTTAACTCGCGATGAGCATTATGGAGCCTCACAAATTTCTCGTCCTCGCCGGCTACGAAGAGCTTGATGTTGGTCACTTTGATTCCGACTCTGAGCTTGTAAAAAGGCTTTTCTGGATCCTGCCACTCCCTGTAGGCGCTACGCTCAGGCGAAATGAGTTCAAGAAAAATATCCACTCTTGGACAACTCGTACCTGTTGTTTCTGCTTCGGCATCGAAGGCCTCGTCTGCTTGTTCTTCAACGCTATGACTTGCAAGCGGTTGCTCATCTTCACCTTTTCCGGCACGACCATTTACACCCCGTACAGCAGTTGAACGAGTAGTCCTCAGGAAAGATGAACGTTGCTGAACAGAAAGGTTCTTCGTTAGTTCCTCGCTTTTGCGGTCAGCAGCTTCCATTAGTTTGCCCAGAGTAAGCAACCCCAACCAGTTAGAGTTGTGAATAAGTTTGTCGGTTTTAGGGGCATTGTCATCATTCTTGAGGCCGTTATTTGCAGAGGCCAACAACTTATGAAGGCCACCGGTCGGCACGGCAAGCTCCAGAATCTTGAGCCATTCTGGGACTTTTGGCCCGTTTAGTATTTTTTTCAGGTCTGTGCTCGTGAGCTGGCCTTCTTCTGTGGAACAGTTGTGGGGGCCAAACACGTCGCCCAAAGGCAGCAACCCTTCCGCTGCCGCCCGGATTAGCAACGCTTTTTCAATCTCATCAGCCGTCGTAGGATGCGTGGTGGGGCCGTGGAGGTTAAGAGGCTTCGGCACCAAAATATCGAGGAAGCTGCGGCGCTTTCTACGCAGATCTTGCTGTTGAAGATCATGCTGTTCAACATCAGGAGTACGCTTGAGGAGCATCGTCCACCATTTAGGACTCCCCGCATCGAGACCCCCGACGGGCATTTCCATTTTCACGGCAGCAACGAATCTGAGTAATCCCACAGCAAGTGTTGAGAAAAACGCCGAAGTGGCCCAACCGCCACGACAGCGGGAGTAGACTCCAAGCGCAGCACCTTCGAGGTGTTTGTTGGTATCACCTTTACGACGAGGCGCGTGCTGGGACTTCTTGCCCCCACCACGTCGAGAACAACTCCTCTTGCTGGAGAAAAGTAGCATTTTGCTGGGAAGTAATATGCGAAGTGGAGGATAATATTGAAACAGAATAAAGTGCGCAATCAATCGAGCGCGAAAGGGCTCATAGCTGTAGTAGTAGTGGGTTGATGTTACAGTGCTTATACATAGTTGTAGTTGAAGTTGATGAGGCGTTGACGTAGTAGTATTATTGATGGCGTCGTATTATAGTTGTTGTAGTAGCAGTTGACGAGGTTGACGTAGTGGAACTGGAAGTACTAACGTTTGAGAGAGTTCTTCTCCGTATTCCGGTAGACGTAGTTGAAAGAGTTCCTGTTATAAAACACAACGTACTAGTGCCCAGGTCGTTTTGTTTCAGTTTCTACTCTTTCTAAATTAGTAGAGGACCCCGATCCCGAAGCCGAATAGGGTTGGTTGTTTCATCTAATGAGAATGATTTCAACTGACTCCAACATCTTGATCTTTGTTGAATACAAATTGCCAGCGGCGGATCTGAAGGATCTGTGACTGTGTGATCCTCTCGTTGTTATCTTTGCGGTCTCGTATGACGCAGATAGAGGATCTGTATCGGCAACGGCATGATCTCGTCTGTTAATTCCATTAGTATGTGTGTGGATGGGATTGCTCTACTATCCGGGAACGCGAGCCGTAGTGTGTGCCATCAGGTCGAGCACAGAAGCACCAGTATCAAGGATCTGTGACTGTGTGATCCTTTCGTTGTTATCTTTGCGGTCTCGTATGACGCAAAACGAAAACAAACCGAAACTACCAACATTATGGAACAAAGACACAAGACGCAGCGTTCCCGTGATTTCGATTTCTATAAACCCCAAGCCATGTCGTGGTCCAAGTCCATGTCCTTAGCCTTATCTCCATCCTCGAAAAATAGAATTAGGAGATATAGTTTCATCTCTGGACGATTTGTCACTGTCACGAATTTGGCATTATAAAAACTTCTTTGTTCTAGTTCCGCGTTATGAGTATGGGCTGTAATTTGTTCTCAACATCAGCTAACCTAAAATCTGTACGGCTTTGGAAAGACTACTCTGCTAGTCCACAAACGCTGCTACTAGTCCACGGAAGTAAAAAATAAGTGCCATTTGTTCTTCATCGCTGATGATGATTCTACTTCTTGACGATAACATTCATCGATATGACTCGTGCACGCTTATGCTTAAGCGTCTAAGAGTTTCTGTGTGTTCATCAAGTTCGTTTCCAAATCTGCATCCAGCAGGATTCCTTGTCTCACTTTAGTTAATTTCAAGCATGCAGGCTGTAAACTACCTACAAAGGCATACTTTATACTTACTTTCACAACTGCTGATCATGTACCTGTAGAAGTATTAGTAGTAGTTTCCTGGTAGGTGTTTCGACCGCTGGTGTAGGAAAGAATCGCGGGGACAGTCAACGTCATCTGTCGTTCAGCGATGGATGGCCTACGAGTGTGGCCCTTTTTCGTCCGGCACCAACGCGTCGCGATCATCATGCTGTTATACTCGTAGTATATCAAATAATATACCCAGATCAGATAGTAGACCGTAGATGATAGATATACCCAGATCAGATATACCCATATTTATCAGATATACCCAGATAAAAAGTCTACTGGTATAGTTCCGTGTGTACCCGCGAAGCAAGTTGCTACGCAACGCGCACGAACTAACTAAGAGCTCCTTGCGTATAATTGAACTCCTAAAGGATCTGGGATCTTCGCGCGACTAACTATAAAATAAGCTGCATCCATGTCTCGAAGCATACGCTGAAACATGTCAGCCGCAGCGACTCCAAAGTCCTTGATCGAAGGCAGAAGGACGAAATCACCCCTAAGAGAGCAACGGTATTGTTCTTCCGTAGGTTGTTGTATTAATGTGCATTGCAGCGTGCGATCGTTCCCATTTGCATCCGATGAGCTTATCTCTAATGCCTTTTCCTTTTCTACAGCGGCTGCGTCTTTGATAAAGATTCTCACGTTCTCCACCCTAATCTGGAGTTTAAATATGTAGTCGTCAACATCACGAACTCTCTTCATCTCTGCATACTGCAAAGAGACATTGACCAGTGGAGGTGTCACAGTCCCACAGTCCTTCTGATGACGTAGTTGACCTTGAAGATGACGTTGCAACGTCTCGGTTAGCTCCTTGCCTAGCCTCCCAGCTACATTCTCGTTGTTCTCCAGCTTTCGTAGTTGAGGCAACCATTCAACGAGCCTCTTGTCCGCGTCGTGTGACGCCTCATCTTCTAGGAGGTACGACGTCGCGGTCCCCACGTTCGAAATGGCGAATTTTTCTCTCTGCGATACCGACATCCAGCCATAGGGGTCGCAGTGGCTAAACATTACGCTTCCGCCGTCTTTGAGATTACTGGCATGCATCACCTTCTCCAGCAAAACCTTCCCTGGTCTTGGTTTCCTTAGCTCCTCTTTGAGCTCTGGGAGGTGACCAGAGCAAGCATCGAAAATAGGTGATAGAGGAAGCCACCCGTTCTGCACCGCACGAATTAGAATACACTTCTCAATGAGATCTGCTGTGATCTGCCCCGAGCCGCCGCCCGAGCCGTCGCCCAAGATGTCTAGAAAGGAGCTCCTTTTTTGACCAGTTTGTAGTTGATCCGGAAGATGTTGCGAAAAATGTTGAGGATGATGATTTCTTCCTGGATCAGCATCTACTTGCGGAGCGACTTGCGGTGGGGCCTCAACAGCAGCAGCACGACTGTTGTCGGTTTGCCTCATTTGCTTTTGTGCCCAGTCTCGGATCTTACGCAGCGGGTCTTCAAGGAAGCCGTGTATTAGAGGAGCAGCATGAGTAGAAGTTCAAGTTGTTCAAACTGGCGAATTATAGTCGTGAATAGTAGTTTTTCATTCATTCATTCATTTACCTGTTCGCGAGGTGTTGTCTAGTTGCAAGGGAAAGGGGGGGTTTATATCTTTTCCTTCGAGTTCTATAAGGGGTTGCTTCCTTCTTTTTCTTTATTTTGCACTTTCTCATGTGTCCTTCAAACTGGCGAATTATAATGCGAAGTTGTTCATCAAACTCGCATGATTAAATGTCATAGTCATCGACTTCGTCCTAAGGAACCTCCTCTACTGCGTTCTTCTAATATGTCCCTCTAAACTTCTTACTCTTCAAGTGGACTAGCGCGAACCCGAGCCCGAGCGTCCTCTCGTGCAGCGTGAAGATGTGAGTTGGATACATTTAATGTATGATGTTGACATTAGTCGAATCGGATGACTGGAGGACGAGGACTTACAACAAATTATAACTGTGTCTGTCAATGTCGGATATGACCATGGAGGTTTGTCTTAACTTAAGTTGCTTGTCCAATTCGTTTAGGTCCCACTCTACAGTTCTTTGGTTGTCGTCGTTGCCTTCCTTAGCAACGAGTTTCCCTAGTTTGATGTACTCGACAAGCTCGCGTGCAAGTTTTATCTTTTTTCTTTCTCCCGAAGCTGAAGTTGAAGACGAAGACGCTCCTCCTGAAGGCAATGTAGTAAAGTCAGTAGAAGCAGGCGCCTCGCCATCCTCTGCTGCGGTGCCTTGTTTATCATCTGCTGCAGTAGGAGAAGAAGCAACTCCAGCATGAAGATCTTCTTCGTCTTCTACATCGATGACCTTGTTCACTTTTAGAGTCAGCTTGTACCCATGTGGGCCCGCCCGTCATCTCGACCCCCTTCCCATGAAATACAAAGGAAAAGGGTATCGAGATGCCGAGAAAGATGCATGGATAAAAGCTGTCCTTAACTCGCGAAAACGATCAGCATTATGGAGCGTCACAGCTTTCTCGTCCTCGCCGGCTACGAAGAGCTTGATGTTGGTCATTTTGATTCCGAGTCTGAGTTCGTAAAAAGGCTTTTCTGGATCCTCCTTCTTCAGGTCGCCCAAAGGCCAAATGAGTTCAAGAAAAATATCCACTCTTGGGCCACTCGTACCTGTTGATGCTGCTTCGGCATCGAAGGCCTCGTCTGCTTTTTCTCCAACGCTATGACTTTCAAGAGGTTGCCCATCTTCGCCTTTTCCAGAACGACCATCTACACCCCGTACAGCAAATGAGCGAGTAGTCTTCAGGAAAGATGAACGTTGCTGATCAGAAAGGTTCTTCGTTAGTTCCTCGCTCTTGCGGTCAGCAGCTTCCATCAGTTTGCGCAGAGCAAGCAACTGGTTGGACTTGTGAATAGATTTGTCGCTGTTAGGAGCATTATTATCTTTCTGGAGGAGCATATTTGCATGGGCCAACAAATTGCCTCGTTGATCATCTTTATGAAGGTGGCCATGGCCACCGGTCGGCGAGGCAAGCTCCAGAATCTTGAGCCATTCTGGGATTTTTGGCCCGTTTAGTATTTTTTTCAGGTTTTCGCTCGTGAGCTGGCCTTCTCCTTTGGAGCAGTTGTGGGTGCCAAACACTTTTTCCACTTCCAGGACGCCGTCCGCTGCCGCCCGTATTAGCAACGCTTTTTCAATATCATAAGCCGTCGTAGGATACCTGCGGGGGCCGACGCCGTTCAGATTCTTCGGCACCAAAATATCGAGGAAGCTGCGGCGCTTTCTACGCAGGTCTTGCTCTTGAAGATCATGTTGTTTAACATCAGGAGTACGATCAAGGAGCATCTTCCACCATTCACAACTCCCCGCATCGAGACCCCCGACGGTCATTTTCACTGCAGCAACGAATCTGAGTAATCCCATAGCAAGTGTTGAGAAAAACGCCGAAGTGGCCCAACCGCCACGACAGCGGGAGTAGACTCCAAGCGCAGCACCTTCGAGGTGTTTCTGTTTGTTGGTATCACCTTTACGACGAGGCGCGTGCTGGGACTTCTTGCCCCCACCACGTCGAGAACAACTCATCTTGCTGGAGAAAAGTAACATTTTGCTGGGAAGTAATATGTGAAGTGGAGGATATTGAAGCAGACTAGAGTGCGCAATCAATCGAGATTGAAAGGGCTTATAGTTGCTGTAGTAGTGGCTTGATGTTATAGTGATTATAGTTGTAGTTGAAGTTGATGAGGCGTTGACGTAGTAGTATCAATGATGACGTCGTTATACATAGTTGTTGTAGTAGTAGTTGACGAGGTTGACGTAGTGGAACTGGAAGTACTAACGTTTGAGAGAGTTCTTCTCCGTATTCCGGTAGACGTAGTTGAAAGAGTTCCTGTTATAAAACACAACGTACTAGTGCCCAGGTCGTTTTGTTTCAGTTTCTACTCTTTCTAAATTAGTAGAGGACCCCGATCCCGAAGCCGAATAGGGTTGGTTGTTTCATCTAATGAGAATGATTTCAACTGACTCCAACATCTTGATCTTTGTTGAAGACAAATTGCCAGCGGCGGATCTGAAGGATCTGTGACTGTGTGATCCTCTCGTTGTTATCTTTGCGGTCTCGTATGACGCAGATAGAGGATCTGTATCGGCAACGGCATGATCTCGTCTGTTAATTCCATGACCTCAAGTCGGATCATTTTCTTTTTGATACTCCGATTCCTTCTAGAGCAGGAGTAGTTTCTTCGATCATCGATAAGAATTAGTATGTGTGTGGATGGGATTGGGATTGCTCTACTATCCGGGAACGCGAGCCGTAGTGTGTGCCATCAGGTCGAGCACAGAAGCACCAGTATCAATGGACAAACTACAAAAGTAGATGCATAAGAGGCCCTGGATCTGTAGAAGAATTCTACACTTATTTGGAAAAAAGTGTAAGAATCAGGACATTTCTAGAGCAGGAGTAGCTTCTTCGATAAAAGTTAGTATGTGTGTGGGTGGGAGTACAAAACTTTTTCCGTCTACTACCAGAGGGGAAATGATTCGCGATCTTCTTGCAAGGAGTCGATCTTCTTTTCTGTTTGTTTACGGCGCTGCAGACAGAACATACCTTGATGTTTCCCGTGTGCATTTTCGTTGTATGTCGAAACAGTGCTGATGATCGCTTCGTCGTAATTGTAAACAAAAGGCTAAAAATGATTTGCCTTGCTTTAATATTTGTTGGTGGCACGACCACGACGACCTACGATCACAATCACCGGGGAGGTCGTGGTCGGTGCCGCATGAAAGATGTACTCATAAAGATAAAGATTGACATGAATATCTTCGATGAACCTACTTCATCCATTCTTCATCTGCGTAATGCATAATGTTGGAAATGTAGCAATAGCATTAGCTACTAGAAGATAGATGAAACACCACAAATTCAAACGAGCCATAAAGGTAACAAGATGCCTAAGATGAAAATGAATTATGTTCCCGGTGATCTTACATCTTCGGAAGATGATCTTCCCATGCGAACCTGAAAGCGGAAAATCCCAAGTAAACAAGAAAGGAGCACTTTCCAAATTCAATTTTTTTCAATTTAGTTTCCAACTTAATATTCATGCTGTAACGACCGTGGTATGAAGCGCGAAATCATATCAATCATCTACCTCTATTCTCCAATAAAGAAGTTCTGCAAGAATTTCATTTTCTTCATCTGTGCTACTTGATAAAGTAAGTAATATAGCTTTTTCATCTACAAGGGCTGCGGCTATAGCAGAGCAATTTGTAAGGTTTCACGGCTCGCATGGCATGGAGTGCATGGATCACATGGAGTAGCATGGAGCTAAAGGGGGAGCTTCTTGCGCCGCTTAAAGCTCTGCGCTCCATGCTACTCCATGCGCCATGCGTGCTATAAACTACCCTGCTATAGAATACAACAATAATGATCTTATCTTAGTTGTACAGTACTGGTATTGCATTATTTTGGAGTAAACATCTTTTCGTGTCAGTCCAAAATACCCCAATGTCGTAATGTTTCATTAGTATCGGTATCCTTCAGTCGTGTTTGGTACTAGCAAAAAGTCGGACAGCGATCACGTTCAACATTCCTGAGGAATTCACGCCTCAATTTTTATCAAGCGCCACCAAAAGCCGGTCCTCGACCTGGGTATGGCGACCTCGACGATGACGACCTCGAAGATGATGACCTCGACGACTCCGACCTCGGCCGCCACGACCCTCTCGAGGATACTGACGACCTTGACGAGGTTGAGGATCTTGACGATGTCGAGGATCTTGACGATGTTGAGGACCTTGACGAGGTTGACGACCTTGACGATGTTGAGGACCTTGACGAGGTTGATGACCTTGACGATGTTGAGGACCTTGACGAGGTTGATGACCTTGACGATGTTGAGGACCTTGACGAGGTTGAGGACCTTGACGATGTTGAGGACCTTGACGAGGTTGAGGACCTTGTCGACGACGCGCTCATCGATGGCGCACTCGTTGATGAGGATGACGAACTCGACGGACCCCCACACCATGGCCCACCGCTCGCTGACGAAGGTGACGAGCCGCCACCGTTCGGTGATGGGCTGGGGCTCCGCGAATAGCCTCGGTCATGATGGCTCCGAGTGTTAGAGATCTCTTTAGAAGACCACGACAAAGAGAGCAATATCACAGAGGAAGGCTTTTCTTGACCCGTATCGAGTCGAGTTCTCGGGTTGCTCGAGTTGCCCACCCTAATTTTTTGCGCGGCGCCCTTCGGGCGCAGCTTCATGAGACGCCAAGAAACCCGAACAGGAGCGCACGGCGCTGCGAACCGTGTCTCTGCTCCATGAAAGTTTTCCCGCTGCGGCCTGCGGGCGTAGGCTTGGCCAGACGTTGAAGCACTAGAAGACAAGAATACTGCTGGCCAAAAGAAGGGGAGTTTGCCCGTGGAAGACAGCCAAGAGGGGCAGCAAAATGCCCGCAACGGGTCCAGCGCGGGGGGCCTGGGGGTGTAGCATGTACCACACCAGCCCACCCGCCTGCCGACCAAAGGAGAACCGCACTCACCACGACCCGCCCAGACAGCCCCCGCCGCGTGTTTCTCAATTTCACAGGGGCACCCTTCGACCGCAAGCCAGCGACGCGCCCACCGTGGCGGGGACCCCTCCCACCGCAACGTCGAAGACCGAAAGCCCAGTCCCAGGCTGACATTCCCCAGCGAACCAATCCACAAGCACAGAAGGGCGAGGCACTTGCCCCCGACCGCCGCGACTGCGTGGGAACAGGCGCGCCACTGTCGACCCCAAACGCAAAGAAGCAGCGCCACCCCAGCCTTCCTCTGCGAAGGAGCTCCCGAAGAGGGCGCCCCGCTTTCCGAGTGAGTACTTTGGCGCCCCCTCCGCACTCCTTTGCTACCATTTCGACGCAGCTAGCTTCTTCAGGCAAATCGTTCCAGTAATGAAGGGCCTCGCCTCGGCAACTCGAGCAACTCGTGTCAACTCGAAGCCCGCTATGTAATAATATTGGCCTTACTGCTCTAACTTTATCACATATTCAAGGTGGCAAAGGAACTTGTTCTTGTCCATCTTCATGCAAGAAAGTGGGAATGTTCCCAAACAAGGATCACCATCACTGCCTTAAGGTCATATGCTCCAGGATCACCCCGCCAGCGTTGAAGGGGGTGCGTATTGAGGCGAGGAGGGTTTCGCGCATAAATAGCGTACATTCGTGCCCTATGGTCCGCAGTCATCACAGCTGGCGCAAACTTTTCTAGCGGACGAGCTCTCATTAGACGCGAACGGTAAGATAGTAATCTTGAATGAAATACTTAATAGAGTCAGAGAGGCTTCTTGCCATAATCTCACGTGATCCCCAAAATAGAGCACGTCCATCACTTCTCTGCTTGCGGGGCCATTCGCGCTGCGAATCGGCAGTTGATATCCCGGCTGCTTCCCTTGCGCTTGATTTTGTATTAGCGGCCGTCATCGTAGTTTCTCCTCACTATAGTAGAGTTTACTGAGTTCCTGTTTAAGCCCAAGTGGATTCCACCCCTTGTTCCTGCTTCCCTTCAAATCGAAAACGGAATCCCTATAAATCATTCTTAAAGACATACCACAATGAAGCCACTACGCGACAATCACAAATGGCCCTAACTCTGCGCGTGGCAAAATATTCGTCCCGATGTGGTTCAAGTCCCCCGCAAGAAGTGTATTCGGGCGGCTCGGTAGAATTGGTTGCTGTCCCAGTGTTGTGTCCCGTGTGCGAGCTGACCGGGTGAAAGGGTTTTGGAACATGCCGTCTACTGTTCCCGGTCGATAACTCCCGTGAGCCGGCTGTGTAAGCTGCGAGTTGGCGATTGCGGCACCAATGCCGCCTGCTGCTGGCAAATGATTACTCGGATTATTTTGTAGCTGTTGGAAACTCTCTGGGCTAAAGGCCTGGCGTACTATTGGAGTGAGCTCATGTTCGTCTCGTCCCCTCATCTGGACCCCTGTGCCTTTGTGCTTCACCACGGCAATAAAGGGCAAAAGGGTACCAAGATGCTGAGAAGGATAGATAAAAGCTGACCATAATACTAGAGCCACCTGCGCCGCTTGTTGACTCGTGTTAGCAGCGTGCGTGTGGACCATGGTTAACCCTACAACCCGCTCGGGCGGTGGCGCGTCCGTTGCCGGTGTTACTGTTCCATCCTGAGGGACCACTCCCGAGTAGTCTGCTCTTCCAGTGCGCGCCTGGGCTTCCAGGACAGCCACGTAACCTATCTGCGCGTTCCCATTGTTCAGCGTTCGCCCATACGGCATCCGATTTGGCACAGCGCGCCCAGCTGCGTCAATTGGATGTTGACCTGGCGCTAAAGCCTCTGCCATAGCCTGGTTTGTTATCAACGTGATGTGCTCCGATGAACTCCTACTCTGCTGATTTGCGTTGCCCGTGTAGGCATGGCCTTGGCACCTGCTGGTAAAAGTCGTCGGATCTCCGACATCAGGTGCGGGGAGAGGTACCGCCACGTTGCATTCGCGGACATCCCGATGGTGCGGGAGGTTGAGTCCATGCACTCCAATATGCGTTTGGCTAGCAACTACTGTGCCTGCAGCAGGCACATTCGCTTGAGCATTCGCTGCCTCTTCTTCTCGTGCTGCAGCGTTATGGGAACAGTCCTCTGTTATTGAGTAGGTAACAGGTCTGTTCCCGAAAAGATGAAGACACACCTGAAGTTAGAGCAGGCGTCTAGTACTATGGATCGTCTCAGTCGTCCCCGCATGACGACCTCCATTTTGTTCTTCTGTGTATGTTCTTCTACGTGGTGAACAAAAGGGAGCAGGAGTACCGCAGAGATCCTGAGAACGATGGATTTTTATACACGGTGACCATAATGAAGGTTGGCTTCCATTTGTTGTTTTTTTCGGCGCACATGGTCTGCATTATGAGCACCTGGCCTTTCATTGTTGTTGAAATTCTGGGAAAAATAAAGCGCGTCCGTGACAATGCCTCCAAAAAGGTGCCAATCGTCATCCTCTTGGTCAGCGAGTTCCTCTCTCAGGTCCTGCAGCAAGAGTTAGAATCTTCAACTTAATATCTTCACTATTGACTTGAAGATTCAACATGTGCCCAAATGCAAATACTCCCTTGTCGAGAAAAAGTTGCTTTTTCATCTCAAATATTTCGACTGCAAATAGGACTAGAAGTCAAGAAGTGACGACTTATTCCTTTATGTGGGAACTACAGATCAAAGACAAGATCTCAAATGTTGATGATGCCTTAAATTCGATAGTTTGCCTGTGCAGCTGGATCTGCGGCACCGCCAAAGCTGGCAACTATAGCCGCTTCCGCTTTCGCCTTCGCCTCTGCTGCCGCTGCTTTCGCCTTCGCTTCTGCCTGTTGTTGAATGTGTGCAGCATGTCGTACTGCATCCTCAGCGTTTTGCTGCATCATTGCCAGGGTTTGTCCTTGGCGATGTACACCTGCACCTCGACCTCTCGTGGTTATTATTCCATTCCTTAGAGCCGGGACCAAGAAGCCATCTTTTTGAACATTGATTCTCCAGCGTTTTCCAAACTACAGAAAACTGCTAAAAAAAGATGCTGTAAAAGATGGGTTGGCTATTGCACCCGTAAATTTCCGAAAAAACTATCCGCTTCGTCACCTTCGGCGTCAATCTCCATAGGGTCTTGCGGTTCGGAATCCTGATCCACATCCATGGAAGAAGGAGATTCCACATCCATAGAGGATCCACCTATCTTAGAGGTGGATATGAGAACAAGGTAGATGAAAGAACGAAACAAGAGAAAGTCATTAACAACTAAACCAACGAGTAACGTGTGAAGAAGTGTGAGATGATGATGCAAGTCTATGCGTCAAAGAACTGCCTAAGATGTCATGTGTTCGTTCCGTGTTGCGATCCTGTCTCGATCACCTCTAAGGAACCGTATTACATAGAAGTTCTAGAGACCTAGCTTCTAAGTAACCTATGGTCGCGCGTTCAGCGAACTGTGTGGGAGATAAGTATCAGAAATACAACTAGAGAGAGGATGAAGTTTTTTGATTATGATTGGAATGAGAGAGAAGACGAAGAAGAGGAAGAGGGTAAAGCCTAATTATTTTGTTTTCATTGATCATTTGTACTCTTCAAACAAACTACTAACTCTTAGTCTTAGCACCAGGTGTTTGGTATAGACTCAAACTCAATTTCAAAAAAAACTATTGCCTTAACAGAAGAATTATTCTGGCCGTCCCTTCTTCGACGCTTCGCACCATTTCCCCCATCGTCATCGTCGTCAGTGCCATAAGCTGTGCTTTCGGCATCGTCGTCTTCTTCGCGTCTTCGCTTCTTACTCGAAAAATCGCCTTGAAAGTGGTAGAGATTTGGAGACGAGGGAAAAAATAGAGTTACAGCTATGCTATTTTAATTTTGCGGAGGTATAATTTAATGAGATGCGGGAGGAGGACTTCTTGTTAGTTTATGTAGTTCTAGTTTATGCTCCGTGTGCTTGAGAGATATGCCTGCTTCTGATGGGATTTGATAGAGAGTTTGACACCTTGAATGATCAAGTATGCCAATAAGCCTGCTCGTAGTTGTTGATGGTTTTAATTGGAGGAGAAAAAGGAAAGATGAAAATACAAATAAACTGTCGCAGCACATCATGCAGCGTGATGCATATTTAGTCAGGAGGATTTCCCAGCACAAAATACTACATTCACATTGCATGCTCCTGCACTCTTAGAGGACAAGATTTTTCAAGAACAATGTCGCACCTTCAAGGTGACGTAAACTCTCAGATTTGTGGAGAGACAGCACATCAAGACAGAAGAAGTCGGATGACAACAGTGACACTGACGCTGCAAGATTTGAGATCCTGTCTACTTGACAACAGATGACAGATATATAAGATGATGCCTTCTTTTCGCTGCAGCAGAGTATTTGATGAAGCACCAGACAAGAGACAAGATAGAAAGAGATAGTGTGCTCAAACGCAGTGGGCCCACAATACATTTCTTAGATGATGCGCAGATGAGAGGAAGAGAGTGTCTTCTGACTGCGTCTATCACGATTTGACGCCGTGCACCCTTGATTTGTAGTGCAGATCGTTCAAGGCCTATGACATGAGGCTCTTCTACTAATCCTTGCCAGACAAGAGAAGAAAAAAGGAAACTTGTCACACTCCAGAATGGAATCGTCACTGATTTTTCGTTTTGCGTATCCTGTTGTATTGTTACAACATTAAGGTCCTGGTCACCAGTCGGCAGTCCTTTTGCGAATAATCATGCATCAGATCATCATGACACGCACAAAAATCAGAAAACTACTATCTCTGACTAGTGCCTGCTGTCTGTTTCAACCACATTGGCCCACTGTGTATTTACCACATAATTGGCGTTGTTTTACTTAGAGGAGACTCGCGAGCAGGAGCAGGTAGAAGGGTAGGTGAACTTTTAATATCTACTGAAACTGATGATCGATAAGAATTGGGGTCTAATATTATGGTTCAATGCACGTTGCCGTCATTCGAGCCTGAGAATCTATCTCTTGGGATTTTATTCATCTGCTTTATTGAAACTTCTATTGTATAATTTCTACTGTGTATGTTTATTCCCTAAAAACGAAATCCAAGGCAGACACGACACAGTGAACTTGCGAAAGGAGCTATGAAAAAAGTAAGTACAACTATGCCTCTCATTTGAAGATGAACCATGCTAGAAGTTCGTAAGAACGTTTCATTTAGGGAGCAGATGAAAAACCACCGAGACCGGCTAACATTATAAGTATCTATATAATTATACGAAACGCTTAGGGTTAGGGCCACTAGTAAAACCAACGCTCAAAGTCCTGACGATGATGTTAGTCGGTTCGGATTGGACCTACGGCTTCCCTGCGTCTCTTCTGAGTTCTTCCAAGCTGTGAAGGTGGCGATCCGTTGTTTCTATAGTGGCGCTACTCGTTGCGGGGAGAAAGTTCCCGCTGCTCGCGCTTCCTTCTGCTATGCTTTTCCACCCTTCTCGATTTGAGCAGTCCTCCAATGTGACAGATCTAGCCTCTGGCCCCTTTGAGGGCCTGCCTATCCACGTTTCTTTCGGTCGGCCTTGTCTACACTAAAAAGTCCTAAGTAATGACTAGCACTAGAGAAAAATGAAAGCGACAAGTAGCTGCAACATCATTCTGTAACCAAAATCAGTCTCCTCAGGAGGCCCAACACAAAGCACATTCCATGCCTGCCCTTTGCTACTTGGCTTCCCTAGTTCAGAGCTGTAATATCTTGGGCGTTCAACAGAAACGGACTCAGCGTGGAAGTGGATACTTGTGGTGGAGCACTTGTGGTGGAGCACAGCACCTAAGTTGTACCTATGGTTTGAGAGAGACTATTCTCCTAATCCACAGTTGCTGCCTAGGTAGAAAGAGCAAAAACCTCCAGAAAAAGACGTGCTGGCTATCGCTATTGATACTTATAATATAATATAGTGCGGCCATACGTAGTGTGGCCCACGACAAATTCACATGTTGGCACGCCCATGTGATCGCAAAGTTCCCAGTACAAGTCTGCGTAGCCCGAACCTCTCTCGAAAACAGACTGCGCTTTGCTGCCCTCTTCTTTACCGTGAGCGCTATCGAGGTCGGTGTAATGCTGCGAAGCTTTTCATCTGTACTGGTTATTCGCTATCCAGCACTAGGCTGCCCTGGCCATGAGCACATGGTAATTCAAAATGCCAACGTCGCTGTCCGTCGGCACTGAATCGCTTGCGTAGTTTCGGATATGTTATATACTTCCGGCTATCACTTCGCCATTGAGGGCGCCAATCTTGGAGCCATCATTTGCCAGGCGAATGGCGTTCCGCGGGTTGTCACCTGCGCCAAGACCTTTTTCTTAACGCCAGTCTCTCACTCAGCCTGCTTGAGGGAGGTCCCCTTTTGCCCGCTATTTTCACCTTTAAACTAAGTAGAGGACTCCACTCAGCATAGATACATACATAGTCCACATGGTATAGTGAAAAGATAGCCTTAAAAATTTTCGTTGTTATGCATCCCCCACGTTCCGGGTGTCTCTATGGGCTTAGCGACAAACGACATCACATCCTTGGCGATTCTCTGAACGTTTTTACTACTCAGCTCCACTTCGCGAGAGCGGTACTGAAATTAGAGCTACCGTAGTTGCATACGCATCCCTGAAAGCATCCTTGGTTCCACTTTCAAGTAGAAAGAAAGAAGAACCAATCATGATATTGAAATTGAGGAGATGCTCCAGAGGTAGCCTTAATTAAAGCTTTTTTTTCACGCCATTTATCCCTTCCAGCATTGGAACAACAGCAAATCCTTGATTTTGATGATAGCCTTCTTCTGGATCCTGGATCAGGAAATGCTCGATGGAGCGCTTTGGTATGAACGATGCATTTTCTCCCCTCTAGATGCAGCACATCCTGGCACTGATTCCCCTTGAAATTATGAGTGCTGCCAGGATGATCCGTTAAAGATGGGAGAAAAAACATCATCCATATCTGACTATTGACCACATGGTCCACAAGTTGCTTCAACCTTTTTGCCAGCTATCGTTCTCGGTCTCGCTGTTCAAGAATTAGCAGCAATGATCAAAGGAAATTTTTCACCAAGAAAGGAAGATAGAAGTAGTACATCTTCAAGTATAATATCTGAAGCTGAACCTGACTTTATTAAGAACTAGTACACGACATTCACACTAGGTTCAATTTCAAGTGATGAAAATCCCTATCCAGAACATGTCACCTTAACCGAATCATTCTGCCTACAAGAGTTCGAAGTGTAGGCATCGAGTCGCGTGTCCAGAAAATGCCGCCAGTGTGGGTCTAGCTCAAGAGCAAGGTTTGCAGATTCAGACTCAGATGGGATCCTGCCTCAGCCCTGCGCATTAAGCACCGGATCGGCAGAAATCAAATTTGAGTTCCTTTACGTGCACGACTATTGTGCGCGGACAGAAATGACAGCACCATTTGATCCAAGGTAGTACCAGCACCACAGCCGGAGATCATAGTTGTAGTGCCAACAAGAACTCAATCCTGTGCGGCGCTGGCGACGTTCGACATGTTTTATGACCTTGTTTCTGCGAGGAAGAGTCGTGAGGCAACTTGTTCGATATCAAAGTAGACTTCTTGTTCTTTTGTACTTCTAGGGACACTTTCCTTGCAGATCATTCATACGAGCTTTCCTGATAGATGAAGGAATGCTCGAGGCGGAAGACATTCGCGTTCTATGTAACATGATTTTGATTGTACAATGGCAAGCGAAATTTCACTACTTCACTGAAGGTGTACTTTTCTTGCTGAAGGAGTTCTGCATACTGTGTTGTAGTTGTTAGTAGAGTCTTGAGTGATACGAGTGTTCTGTCTGAGTAGTCTCTTCACCTAGGTGTTCTACTTCTTACACACAGAGAGACAGTGATGACAGAATCGTAACCGACACAGGTAAGTTGCAATACGCGGACATAAAGCCCGCGAGAGAACAGAGGAGACACGCTAGTAGTAATGTTCAGCTGGTGCGGATATTACATTTACAAGAAGTGGCGCAGCTAATATTTTTCTGCATGGCTTGATGAAGCAGCATATGCATGGCTCAAGAAAACGAAGGTTAGATTGCTTGGTCGCCGAAGCTAGAAGTTAGAGTTTCGTCGCGCATCCTATCATAGACATAGATATCATTGCGCATAAAAAAAGCACATAGTCGACACGACCACCGCTTGTTCTGAGAAGCAGGCTCCTCACGCTTGCGGCCGAGCTATGTAAAATCGAAATAAATCTGGTGCTTGCTACTCGGTACTAATTCTTCTATCATGGTGTCAATATCAAATGATGAAGAAAGTAATGTCATTATGCCACCCTCGCCGATAATCTCATTACCATCACTATCACGTCTCTCGTAAAAATCATACTCCACAAAAAAGCAACTCGCCATGGCTTCATCCTACGTGAATGGCTCGCGGGCTTTCTTCGCTCCCTCTTCGTTCTTGTATGGGAATTTTACAGTGCTGAAGCTACTCAAATAAATTTTGTTCTCCTCAATGATCTTGATTACAAGTACAACTGAGTAGATATAAGTTGTCACGACTGCCACTTGTTCCGTCGTCCTTATCTTCAGCGGTTCTTCTTGTTGGTCATGGATATTCATTTGCTTCGCCTTCGTCCCCAACAAGCAAGAGAGCCAAGAATTACACAACTTAACCTTCCGTTCTTTTTCATGCTGAATCTCTTCAGCTTACACACGTTGCTTCTACTCGTCTCAGTCATGTCTGCATGTCAGTAGTTTCCGTCACAGGACTCTGCATCTCTTCGTCATCGTCGGGAAGCGGTGGAGCACGAAGTTTCTGGATTTAAATGTTGGACAAAATAAGTCGTGGAAGGTCGTAAAGGTATGATGCTGATGGAAAAGACGACGTATGGTTCTGGTATTTGGTAACCTGAATTTGATCCTAAGGGTTCTCTTCTTGTTTTCCCTTAGGATCAAATTCAGGTTACCAAATACCAGAACCATTCAAACGAGAAACTGTGCAAAAATTTTTTTACTAAAACTAGTAGTCAGAGGACTACTTTCATCTTTGTTCATCTTCACTGTTTACTTCTTGTAACTACTTTTATGTACCACAACAACTTCGTCTTCGATTTTTCACTATCACCTACAGCTACAACACCTAGTAATACAAATACTTTCTCGTCCAGTAGCTTCAAGAATTCTTCGTAGCTTCCAACACGTTTCTCCTGGGGATCGAGTTTCGCAAAAATGTCTTTTAGCATTAGATGGTATCGAAAAAGAAACTCCGTAGCTGACGTAGAATCTAAGATTTTGGTCTTGCAGATACTTGACAAATTCCTATCATGAATAGACATCAAGCCTATGTATCATATGTCACTACCTCTATCTCTAGGTCTGGGCAGAAGTCTAGGTATGTCACTACCTCTTCTTTCTGCTCTAGCAGATAATATACGTCTTGGTCGAAGGAGACGCTACCTAATAAATATACATAAATTATTTTATTTATAGGTCGTTCATCTCTTAATATTGTCGTCTGATTATCGAGCTCCATCACAGGTTCGATCATGTGATGGATGTAGAGCCGCTCTAGCTCCTTCAATACAGGAGACTCTTGCAATTCTTCTTAGAGCTACCGCGTCGCATCCCTGAGGCCGTCCCCGTGCCCTTTTTCCCATTGAAAAGGAAGGAGAACCTATGGAGGATGCTGAAGCGGTAGCCTTAATCTCCCAATGCCGGTAGCATGTGAAGGCGACGACCACCCTCCAAATAACCACGCTCCAAAGCGATGTGCGCCAGCGTCTGAGTTTCTCTTGGGGCCATCGATTGCCATCCAAGAAAATCGTCCAAGAACAAGGAGTAGCCAGTGCGGTTGCCCTCGCGAAAAAGGCGATACACGAAGCGAGGGTCCCTTCTGAGCCGTTCGGAAGCATAGTACAAGGCTTTCCCGCTACATTAGAGACAATAGAGCGGACTAAATCTATGCCTACGACCCTCGCAAAAGCTGCGTTGGGAGCAAGAGCAAAGCAGGGCTCTAGGAGGATGGAACAGTATGGTGAGTGTCCCATGGATTATGCCGACACCGAGTATGAGGCTTTAGCTGCCACTGCGGGCGCAGGAGGTGGATCATTCCTTTATTAGGGGGGCGGGAGTGAAAGCGCGCGCAGCAGCGATTGCCAAGAAGGAGGTGGATACAGCGGAGCCACGACGTGTCGCGAAAATGAAAATCCAAACCTTCCACCTCTCGCGAACGTTGGTGTGCTAGCGCGTGAGGGAAGCGATATTCTTACTGGTGCCTAAGCGAGTCAACAAGAGCGATACTACAACCCCGACTTAATACACAGAAAAAAGACAGATTTGCGATACTCCTCCCTTACATATGCCGAGGCAAATCTTGAAGCTTCGGCGAGTAAACAAGAGTGATGCTACTCCTACCTACACGCAAAAATGACGAATTTGCGATACTCTCCTCCTGCCTTTGAGAAGTGATCAAGACGTCGTACAACCTGCACGTGCGCCTACTTGAAGTACAACGATTTACTGCTCTACTTTTTACTCTTGCTATTACTTACTGCTCGTGCTCGATCATTGTACTTTTATCTTTGGCGGGCATTCATTTTCTCCATGTTCTATCTAAGGTTCCAGAAGCAGAACTAAGTACTTCTACTTCAACAAGTGTAAGTGAATTAGTATTACTGAAAGCCGTAACCATACTGCTCCACCGCGGCGTCAACGACTTCATCATTGTCACTGAAGTCAAGACTTTCATCTTCTGCACCAAACTTGAGTACGATTTGAGGCGATTGGCCAGCAGCCGCAAAAACGAGTGCTCTTCGGGCACCAGTAAAAGCACGATCAGATGAATGGGAGGTGTTCTTGTCGTTGGTCTTGTTGTCGACGGAACAAAGCCACTGCCTTGTAGATGCTTGTTTGGAGAATTTGTGAAAAACAGACCTTGCATGTTTGGACTCGCGAATCGCTTTGCAGAATTCCTCAGGCTTATGCGTGGCGAGCAGGTAAAGATCAGTTGCTGGCACGCACAGCACAACATCGCTGCCCACCTCCTCCAAGGCACGCGAAAGAAAGTCCGTCACCTCTTGTTCACAACTGGCATCCACCTTTTGAGCACCATGCGTTTTGAGCAGAACGCTATCACGAATTTTCTCGTAATGCTTCTCGTCTGCCGCAAGGTTGAAGCAAGTGACCCTGCCTTCAGCTTCACGCTTAACCTTTCGCACCAGCTTGCAGGCAAGGTCCTTCGACTCCTTTAACCCCAACCGCAACAGTTTCAGAATGCCGTCGTCAAGATCTTGCCTGATGTTGAGGTTCCCCGCGGAAGCAAACATAACCTTGAAGCTCTCACAGTGAGGGAGGCAGTTCTTGATTTGCGTATCGTAGAGGCGCTGCCCCTCTTCGCCCATCGCAGAGGAGACAGCGGCTGCTGCGAGTTCCTCATTGAGCTTCAAGTCGGCGGAAAGCATGGAAAAAACCCTCCAATTTCGTTCCACTGCCTTGAGTGCTGTATCACGATCAACGCGATCCCACATCATTCCGATCGCTGGATACCGCTTCTTCAGTAAATCTTCTCCGCAGTGCTGCAACAAATCCGAAGCAATTTCTTGTTGACTCTGCTCTTGTTGCCTTCCTCCAACATCCAAATTCAAGGACGCAATCTTCTGTCGATTTTGCTCATGCCTTCCTCCAACACCAAAATCCTTGATGTCCTGGTGCTGGTAGTTGGTAATGGTATCCTTGTGTTCTTTCCTTCGAACATCAGAACCAGAAGAGTCTGCTTGTTGTTCCGCCTCCATCTGTCCCTGTTGATGTTTTGCGCCTCGAGCGCTGTCAAATTTGAGCAGAGAGAACTTAATCGCATTTTCGTTTTGACGACATGCTGCAAGAACAATGTCGGGATCCGCTCTCAGCTTCTCGGAAGCATGCCTAAGGCACATTCCTGAGTTTTCCACTGCTGCAAGGATTAGCTCTTTGTCGTCACGCAGGCTCCAACAAGAACGAGCTGTGCCAGAAGTAGATTTGCAACACTTGAGAAACAACTGTAGGGTGCCTCCATTCGTCGATAGCATCCGGAAAATCGCTGCACGTGCCTTCTTTCTGGCGTCAACTTGGTCGCGGATCCTCTTCTCTTCTCCTTGAGGATGAGTAGAACTTTCTGCGGGAAGAGGTCGTGCTTTTTTCAGGAGAGATCGAAAAACTCGTTGCGTGCCAAAAAAAGGATCATAATCGTACTGCTCACTAGTATGAGTGTCCTCAAAATCGTCCACTACCACCTCTTGTTCCTGATGTTCCTCGTCATTTAGTACAGAAGCATCGCCTTCGCCCCCTTCTTGTTCCTCATCCTCTTCCTCCTCCTCAGATGAACTAGTTGACTCGACATCAGAGGCTTGTTCTCTCTGATGCTCATCAGGACCTTCTTGAGGGTCATGTTCACTTCTGGCGCCATCCATCGTGGCATCTTCCGCTACACAGTCTACTTCTTTTTAGACCAGGATTTTTCTCGTTGCACAACCGTATTAATTTTTTCAAAAATGCCCATGCCGCCAGTGGCAAGGCCTGGCGAAGAACTCCCCTACGCCTTGGACGCTGCGCGACCGTGGGCCTTCGGCGCCGTCGATATCGACAGCGGAGCACCCCCCAAGGCGATCCGGCCTACCATGAATGATGGCAAACCCCGACCAAACGGCGGAGCGAGCCAAGGGGTACGCAAGACGGGCCCATTTTGAAAAAAAAGAGGCGACAAAAATGGGGGTCATTTTGCACCCCATTTTTGAAAATATAACGTCGACACTTTTTTCGGCATTAAAACGGCCCCCTTTCGTGGGGCCGGGGGACCTGGGGCCTGGGGTCTAGCGGAGTGACGACGTCGGTCCATAGAGAAGCGCGCCTCCTTAGGCTAGCCAAAAACGAAAAAAAAGTAAGGTCGTGCAACGAGAAAAGTCCTGGTCTAATCTTTGTCGCATGCCAGTGCCAATGCACGTGTCATGTTCTCATAGCCAGGCGCTTCGCCGACTACAAATTCCCGGTAAAACCGTCGCGGATCATTCTGGCACAATACAGTCGCCAGCCGTACGAGCGTATCCGCTGCGTGGCCCTGAAAAAAGGCTGTCTGCGACTCGAAAAACCCACGACTCCACAATAGTCATTAGACATAGATCGGTTACGGTTAATATTAAGGTTAAGTACGAATTAAGAGAAATGAGATAGGTTCTTTCAGAACTGCTATAATTATAGGCTAGAGGGGCAAGAGTGAGAGAGAAATAAGCATAACAAGCGATAGCCATATCTAGACGCGTAGCTCCTGTTGCTAATATACATACTTCTAGTTTGTTGACTTGAGTTTTTCAGTTGACTATGGCTTATTCAAACCCCGCTTCAATTTCAATTTGTGACTCTTCACTAGGGAAGATCATCCCTCTCCCCCATCTACAACGTCTTCTTGTATACGCAGCAGAGGGACGTGCTCAAAAAAAGAGGGACTACTACACCAGAATGTTGTTGATGTTCTGCTCCTGGCAATACATCTATATTTATATGTATATTTGTGGTGGAGCAAACCTACCTAGAGCTCAAGACTTAGAAAGAAAGATAGTAGAAGCAGTATTTAGGGTTTAGGGCTGGACGGCACCCCCCCCCCGTGTGGTCTGGTCTGTGGTGGCGTGCGCGCGCGCTTTTCCGCGCGGAATCGAGTGGGGGAAGGCGTCCAAAATTGGCGAGGGCCTCCCCCTGGGCCTCTCAGCGGGTTCCTCCGGGACCTCCTGGCCTGCTCAGCGTGCTGACCCTCACAGGCGGGAGGTTGGTCGCCGGGGTAAAAGGCCGCCGAGGGCAGCCACAGTCGCAAGAGCCAGCAAGCCAAAGACCAAGGGCCCGGAGGGAACAAGCTGCACAGCGCAGGAGGCCCAGCCCCCCGGCTTTTCTTTGCCGCCTTCAGAGCCCTTGAACCTAGGTACGTCGGAGGCCTCTAAGAGAAAGCCAAGCACCTGGAAGGGAGCGAAGGAGGCCACTTGGCCCCCTTTTGAGGCCTTCCACCCCTGGCAGACGCCTTCCAAAGGGACCCGGGGCTGTCGGTGTCCCCCCGTAAGACAAAACGAACACCCCAGGGCCCCCGCGTCACGCGTGACGCCTCAGGCGACGTCCAGAGCTTCGGCGCGCGAAACAAAGTCAAAGGGAGCGCCTGGGAGAGCGTGACGCGGCTAGAACTTCGGGCGGGTGCCTGTGTCTGGAGGAGCGCGACGCACGGAGCTAGAGCCTTGGGGCGGTTTGTGTGCGCATGAGACTGACGCGGCAAGAGCCCCGCGGCGGCCTGTGTGTCAGTGAGACTCCACGGGCGTCCCTCTGTATGGGGCTACAGGCTTCGGATAATGCGGTGCGCGGTACTAGCGAAGCAAGCTGGAAGCTGCCGGAAGACTGAGAAAGCACCCCCAGCCGTATGGTTCTGCGCACAATTAAACCCGCCGCGCCCGGGCTCAGCACTGACACAGACAAGGGAAAAACCGAGAGAGAGAGAGAGAGAGAGAGAAGAGAGAGAGAAGAGAGAGAGAAGAGAGAGAGAAGAGAGAGAGAAGAGAGAGAGAAGAGAGAGAGAAGAGAGAGAGAAGAGAGAGAGAAGAGAGAGAGAAGAGAGAGAGAAGAGAGAGAGAAGAGAGAGAGAAGAGAGAGAGAAGAGAGAGAGAAGAGAGAGAGAAGAGAGAGAGAAGAGAGAGAGAAGAGAGAGAGAAGAGAGAGAGAAGAGAGAGAGAAGAGAGAGAGAAGAGAGAGAGAAGAGAGAGAGAAGAGAGAGAGAAGAGAGAGAGAAGAGAGAGAGAAGAGAGAGAGAAGAGAGAGAGAAGAGAGAGAGAAGAGAGAGAGAAGAGAGAGAGAAGAGAGAGAGAAGAGAGAGAGAAGAGAGAGAGAAGAGAGAGAGAAGAGAGAGAGAAGAGAGAGAGAAGAGAGAGAGAAGAGAGAGAGAAGAGAGAGAGAAGAGAGAGAGAAGAGAGAGAGAAGAGAGAGAGAAGAGAGAGAGAAGAGAGAGAGAAGAGAGAGAGAAGAGAGAGAGAAGAGAGAGAGAAGAGAGAGAGAAGAGAGAGAGAAGAGAGAGAGAAGAGAGAGAGAAGAGAGAGAGAAGAGAGAGAGAAGAGAGAGAGAAGAGAGAGAGAAGAGAGAGAGAAGAGAGAGAGAAGAGAGAGAGAAGAGAGAGAGAAGAGAGAGAGAAGAGAGAGAGAAGAGAGAGAGAAGAGAGAGAGAAGAGAGAGAGAAGAGAGAGAGAAGAGAGAGAGAAGAGAGAGAGAAGAGAGAGAGAAGAGAGAGAGAAGAGAGAGAGAAGAGAGAGAGAAGAGAGAGAGAAGAGAGAGAGAAGAGAGAGAGAAGAGAGAGAGAAGAGAGAGAGAAGAGAGAGAGAAGAGAGAGAGAAGAGAGAGAGAAGAGAGAGAGAAGAGAGAGAGAAGAGAGAGAGAAGAGAGAGAGAAGAGAGAGAGAAGAGAGAGAGAAGAGAGAGAGAAGAGAGAGAGAAGAGAGAGAGAAGAGAGAGAGAAGAGAGAGAGAAGAGAGAGAGAAGAGAGAGAGAAGAGAGAGAGAAGAGAGAGAGAAGAGAGAGAGAAGAGAGAGAGAAGAGAGAGAGAAGAGAGAGAGAAGAGAGAGAGAAGAGAGAGAGAAGAGAGAGAGAAGAGAGAGAGAAGAGAGAGAGAAGAGAGAGAGAAGAGAGAGAGAAGAGAGAGAGAAGAGAGAGAGAAGAGAGAGAGAAGAGAGAGAGAAGAGAGAGAGAAGAGAGAGAGAAGAGAGAGAGAAGAGAGAGAGAAGAGAGAGAGAAGAGAGAGAGAAGAGAGAGAGAAGAGAGAGAGAAGAGAGAGAGAAGAGAGAGAGAAGAGAGAGAGAAGAGAGAGAGAAGAGAGAGAGAAGAGAGAGAGAAGAGAGAGAGAAGAGAGAGAGAAGAGAGAGAGAAGAGAGAGAGAAGAGAGAGAGAAGAGAGAGAGAAGAGAGAGAGAAGAGAGAGAGAAGAGAGAGAGAAGAGAGAGAGAAGAGAGAGAGAAGAGAGAGAGAAGAGAGAGAGAAGAGAGAGAGAAGAGAGAGAGAAGAGAGAGAGAAGAGAGAGAGAAGAGAGAGAGAAGAGAGAGAGAAGAGAGAGAGAAGAGAGAGAGAAGAGAGAGAGAAGAGAGAGAGAAGAGAGAGAGAAGAGAGAGAGAAGAGAGAGAGAAGAGAGAGAGAAGAGAGAGAGAAGAGAGAGAGAAGAGAGAGAGAAGAGAGAGAGAAGAGAGAGAGAAGAGAGAGAGAAGAGAGAGAGAAGAGAGAGAGAAGAGAGAGAGAAGAGAGAGAGAAGAGAGAGAGAAGAGAGAGAGAAGAGAGAGAGAAGAGAGAGAGAAGAGAGAGAGAAGAGAGAGAGAAGAGAGAGAGAAGAGAGAGAGAAGAGAGAGAGAAGAGAGAGAGAAGAGAGAGAGAAGAGAGAGAGAAGAGAGAGAGAAGAGAGAGAGAAGAGAGAGAGAAGAGAGAGAGAAGAGAGAGAGAAGAGAGAGAGAAGAGAGAGAGAAGAGAGAGAGAAGAGAGAGAGAAGAGAGAGAGAAGAGAGAGAGAAGAGAGAGAGAAGAGAGAGAGAAGAGAGAGAGAAGAGAGAGAGAAGAGAGAGAGAAGAGAGAGAGAAGAGAGAGAGAAGAGAGAGAGAAGAGAGAGAGAAGAGAGAGAGAAGAGAGAGAGAAGAGAGAGAGAAGAGAGAGAGAAGAGAGAGAGAAGAGAGAGAGAAGAGAGAGAGAAGAGAGAGAGAAGAGAGAGAGAAGAGAGAGAGAAGAGAGAGAGAAGAGAGAGAGAAGAGAGAGAGAAGAGAGAGAGAAGAGAGAGAGAAGAGAGAGAGAAGAGAGAGAGAAGAGAGAGAGAAGAGAGAGAGAAGAGAGAGAGAAGAGAGAGAGAAGAGAGAGAGAAGAGAGAGAGAAGAGAGAGAGGAGAGAGAGGGAAGAGAGAGAGAAGAGAGAGAGAAGAGAGAGAGAAGAGAGAGAGAAGAGAGAGAGAAGAGAGAGAGAAGGGAGAGAGAAGAGAGGGAGAAGAGAGAGAGGAGAGAGAGAGAAGAGAGAGAGGAGAGAGAGGGAAGAGAGAGAGAAGAGAGAGAGGAGAGAGAGGGAAGAGAGAGAGGAGAGAGAGAGAAGGGAGAGAGAAGAGAGAGAGAGAGAGAGAGGGCGAGAGGGATGACAGCGACGCGCACAGGATGACACGATAGAAAAACACCACAAAGCAGCTACGGGGGCAAGATAGAAAGCAGACAGCGATAAAGGAAACGCGCGGGCAAAAGTTCTGTAGTTCGATAGGCTTGACCGCGTAGAGTGAAACAGCAAGGAAGCCGGCGGCTTTCAGGTGGGAACTAAGCGGGCCGATGGCTCTTGGTTTTTAGTTGTTGCCTTTCTTCCCTTCTTACTCTCTCCAAGCATGTAGCTGGGCGTAGCGCTGAGGAAGAAACGAAAAGAGAAAAACTCAGCGGAGGCTTTGCGCGTTCATTCTTCAGCTGGGCAAAAATTGCATGACCCCCGCGGGCCGGCGAGGGTAGGTCCTGGCATGTGCCTGGCTCTCTTCGTGTCGTGTGTTCCTTACGTACAAGCCTGAGCGACCGCCCGAAGAGACGCGGGGCCCAGCGCCTTCGTGGTGGCTAACTTGGTGCGCCTTTTTTGTCGTTATCAAGGTGTAGCGAATCAGTAGCGCCAAGGCTGTATGGCTGCCATGGCCCGGACAATCCACCAGCAGACCCAACGAAAAGGCACCAAGGAACAAAGGAGGCGGCAAGAAAAAGCACAGGCGTGAAATGGGTGGGGCCGCCCTGCCAGCCTTTGCGGGGGTTTTTGTGTTGTGCGTGTTGTTCTTCACTTTGAGGCCTCAAAGCCGGCGGCGTCTGTGGGCCACAAGGTCCAGACAAAGACACCCAAGCAAGAACACCCAAACAAGAACCAACCCCCAGGCAAGAACATCCAGACAAGCACACAAAGGCAAGAAAACCCAGGCAAGAACACCCAGACAAGAACACCCAGACAAAGACACCCAGACAAGAACACCCAGAAAAGGGCATCCAGACAAGGACACCCAAGCAAGGGCATCCAGACTACAAAGACATCCAGACAGTGACACCCAGACAAGAACGCGAAAGCAAGAATGAACGCCCAGACTGACAAGAACACCCAAGAAAGGACACCCAGGCAAGGACACCCGGGGAAGAACACCCAGACAAGAACCACCCAGCCACAGACACCCAGACAAGAAGACACGCACAAGGATACCCAGACAAGAACACCCAAGCAAGAACATCCGGCCAAGAACATCCAGACAAGAGCGCCCGCGGCTTCCTCGGTATTGTTCTGCTTTGGAGCGTGACGGGCGTCACGCGTAGTCTTTGCACGTTCTTCCCTAGGGTTCGGGCTTGGAGCGCGACGCACGTCACGCGTGCTGTTTCCGCCTTCTTCCCTAAGGTTTGGGCTTGGAGCGTGACGCGCGTCACGCGTATCTTTTTCACGTTCTGCCTGCAGTTTCAGGCCCCCCCGGAGCGTGACACGCGTCACGCGTATTTTTTTCACATTTTGCCTCAGGATTCGGGCTCGGAGCGTGACGCGCGTCACGCGTGTTTTTCCACGTTTTGCCCTAAGATTTGAGCCTGGAGCATGACAGACACAAAAGGAGCACCACAAGAGGAGAGCACTACTAAAGAAGGGGACTCTTTTGCGTCTAGTGGGTTAAGAGCCCTGGAGCGTTGGTTTAGCCTTACCGCGCCCCCCCTTTGCTAGGGGGGGACCGGCAGCCCCTGCCCTAAGTCCTGGATCATGTATAGCGTCAAGATAGTCTTTGATATCCATACGCATGCGCCAAGGCTCAGGGGTGAAGGCCCCCCCCGATCTAAAAAACTTGTTGAGGGGGGGCCTCCCAGCCCCAGCCAGGCCCTCTCTTCGAGATGCTGCCGGGCGAGAAGGCCTCAAAGCGCCCAACGCTGCTCTGACCCCTTCCCGCATCTTGCCTGTACCCTAGAGCGCCACCAAACCGGGGGGCGCTGAAGCTGGCAAAGGAGGCAAGGCAGGACCCCGCTGGCTCGTTGCATGTACCCTACAGACTTGGCAAGCGCAAAGGTGGCAAAGGCGGGCCCCTCTTGTCGTGTTGCAGGTACCCGACAGAGCTGGCAGAGGATTCAAGGCAGGACCCACCCCCTTGGCGTGCTGCATCTACCCGAAGCCGAAAGACCTGGCAAAGGTGGCAAAGCTGGACCCCTCTGGCGTGTTGCATGTACCCGACAGACCTGGCAAAGGTGGCAAAGCTGGACCCCTCTGGCATGTTGCATGTGCCCAACCCTACAGACCGGGCAAAGGTGGCAAGGCTGGACCCCTCTAGCGTGTTGCATGTGCCCAACCCTACCGACCAGGCAAATGTTGCAAAGCTGGACCCCTCTGGCGTGGTCCGCCACAGATCCACCCAAAGGGATGCTTGCCACCTTTGCCAGGTCTGTCGAGGGGCTGCCAGGCGGGAAGGCCTCAAAGCGCCCACTTCTGACCCCTTCCCGCTTCTTGCATGTACCCTGCAGACCTGGCAGACGAGGCAAGGCGGGAACCCACCCCCTTGGCGTAGGGTTGGGCACATGCAACACGCCCGAGGGGTCCTACCACCTTTGCCAGGTCTGTCGGGGAGATGCAGCACGCCAAGGAAGGGGGCGGGCCGCGCCTTGCCTCCTCTGCCAGCTCTTTCGGGTAGGGGTACACGCAACACGACAAGAGGGCCCAGCCTTTGCCACCTTTGCCAGGTCTGTCGGGTACATGCAAGAAGCGGGAAGGGGTCAGAAGTGGGCGCTTCGAGGCCTTCCCGCCCGGCAGCCTCTCGAAAAGAGGGGCCGGGGCTCGCGGCTCGCGGTTAAGGGCTCGCGGCTCGCTTCGCTCGCGGGTCACGACCCGCGCCCGCGCCGGGGGAGGGGGGGGGCGTGCGGCCCTGAGTCATATATCTCTATCTAATATATGTATATCTATGTATATGTGTATTAATTATAATTGAGTAGCAAAGACAATGCTCTTAAAACTCGCCTGGATCCCGATCCTCCCATAAGAAGCGGTCCTCTATATCGTAAATTATGTCTGGATTTATGCGCGTTGCTACGTGCATAATACTTTCGGGCTCTTAGACCTCTCCCCCGTGCATCCCTGTGGAAATCCCTCAGCAACATGCATTCGAAGGCATAGCATGCAGCTTGAGGGATTACATACTATAGGTATAGGGATGGATTAGGGGAAGCCTTAATCTTCCCATATGCATTTAGGTGTGCGCTGCTCGTCAAGCAGGAGATGCCTAAGCCAGAACTCAAAAGTCAGGCACTCGTCGTGATTCACAACAGCCTCTCGTGCAATTTCACTCATGTAAGGAGTCGCTTTCTCTTAGAGGAGTTCTTGTGGATCAGCATCGCGATCGCGTCTGTAACGCATATAGAACTTCGAACTACCACCTAAGTCAGCATCGGCATAGATAGTTTGCATTATCATGAGTATCACTCACACTTTGTCATCATTTTCAACAACTTGCTTTAGCTATTGCTTGGCGTGGGTTAGTTTTTTCAAGATCGAGGAACATGAACCACATTAAAATGAATGGCGTTCAAAAAATGCGACTGAATTTAGTGTAAAAACGCTTGTTGTTCGACAATGAGCGATGAGCTGCCTTAATTTTTCATCTGGTCCTTCACGTCAACCAGATGTCCTGGGCGACCTTGTCTGGAAGTCGTTGACGCCTCTCCTCCAGTGGAAATTTCTGTAGTGGTGAAGAAGATGAACACTATATCTCTCTGTAGACGTAAGTAGATATGATCTTAATTTTTTTTGTGCGTGTACTAGAAGCAATGTTGCGACATCTACAAGTACAACAAGAAGAAAATAAAGATGAAGAGTCCAACATAGTAGATAAGTCATGTTGTCGTTATCGTCGTCTTCCACAATGGGTGGAAAAGGTACTTGTATAATTGTTCATGCCATGTTCATCTGGGAGTACTTCCTCATCATGCGCTACATCTATTTGTTAAATGTAAATACTCAGGTTGCTGATGGATGCCTCAACGGCTCCTGCGGTAGCAGCAGATGGTGAATCCTCATCTTCTTTTGCATGCTGCGTGTTCTCCACCAGCACCTCGTCATGTTTATTATGGCAGCGTGCTTGTGCGTCTTTATTCCGTTTTTGATTGGCGTCTTTAGTCCGCTGATAGAAAAAATATTCGAGACTCAAAAGCACTTGCAACCACATTTGCTTTTCAACATCCACAACCGCTACTACGTGTGGATCTGGAGAGATCACGTTCAAAGCCGAAAGCGAGGTAACGTCTTCCTCATCCACGATCAAGCGGGTGTGCTGCCAAGGAACTCCGAAAAGTTTTGCTGCACATCCTTAGAGGAAAATAGTTGAGGTGTGTTATAATTCCTCATTTTGTGGTAGAAGTTCGTGGCCGTTGTAGTCGTTGAACTTCATCAGCATACTGCACGATCCCAAACGACCATGCTACGCCATCGGCGGGATGATGCGTTTCCTTCGTTGAACTACAAAGACAAACATCGCGAAGATAGATACTTAAAACAATATGATCCTGTCTACAACAAGCATCGTGATCGATCATACTTAACAATCTCCCGTCAGGTCGATGGGAATATATAAAAATATTCGAAAATAAACCGGACTAGTTCTTCAAGGTTTCGAGTGATAGGTGTTGCCTTAATCTTTTCGCACAGTTCGCACGCACACCGGCTCGATGCGGCAGGCCTTCGTAATCCTTAGATCTACAGAGAAAAACTAGAACTACAGAAGCTAAACTAGTACTCTGACTGAGTACTAGTCTAGTTTGTGTATCTTTGGCATAATTCATCTTCATTTAGTTACTAAGTCTGACTTTTTACTTAAGTGACTCAGAGTCTGACTAATGTATCAATTTTCATCTTTGTTACCCCTTAGTCAAATTAGAAATGTTTGATAAATGTTGGGCTTGGGTTAGTACTTTCTTTCTTCATCTCCATTACCACGATCGCTAAAACCATGAATGTTGACTAAGCATCAACCTATTCCAGAGCATAACTCCCGAAGTTCCTCCTGGCTGCCTGATTTTGCTGCAAGGAAGCCACCATCCGATACCGACGAGACCTGATCCACTCGGAGCTGTTCCACTTCGCCGTCGTCGTCTAATCTTAGAGGAAATAAGATTCGGCGTGCCCACCTTCAAATCTCACAGATCATGTGGTACTAAAGTAAAAAAGCTGACGCGAGTGAAGCACTCACTTGTATCTGTATGAGAGATGAAGGATATTAAGGCTCGAGCTCGAGCTATCTCCTGTAGCCCGAGCTCGCACCGCTGTAGTAGGTTGTAATGTGATGTCTACAACTCGGGAGAAATGTAGTGCCCCTACAAATTAATGCACATAACCAGATACAGAACTCAAGAAAAAGAATTATTCTTTCACTTGCTTGTTTCGGAGTCATAAGATCTTCACCACGTCAAACTCTGCCGCATGTTCACCGGTTATGGTATACACCACAACTTTCGTAGCGGATGCCATCGTGGCGAAGTTTGAGCCAGAATCCGAATCCATCACGTTGAGGCCCCTTCTACTGCAGCTCATGAAAAAGATAATTAGAGCTACCGCGGTCGCATCCCTGAGAGCATCCTTGGCGTCATTTTAAAGTAGAAAAAGATCCAGGGACGAAGCTGAGGATGCTCCAACGGTAGCCTTAAGATAAACGTCTTCAGATAAGGCGACAACATTTTGTTAAACGCACATTGTCCTTCATTCGATATCGATTACCATACCATTCGAATGAGTTTACATACTATCGATGAATGTCTATGATGTCGAAAAACAAAACGCTCTGAAGCATTTCCATATCAAAGAAGTGGTTCAATACAAGGGAAACACTCAAACACTTTTTTCGTAGGTTCGTGGTACAACAGAAAAAAAGATACCTGGTAACACTCGCCTGTTGTAGCTGGAGGTTGTTGAGTCATTGGTATGAGTATCTATGTTCTTCTGGATCCCATTTGGTTTAGGGTATTCATCTGAAGAAGCAGGAGTCCTTTGAAAGTAGGATGAGGATCGCCAAATGAAACAGAGATGTAACGTAGCAGGAGAGGGACGAAGATGAAGATGATCAGGCTTTCAACATCTGAACGACACGCGACGGAATAGGCCGTATGCTCGATGCATCTTCTTTGTTTTCCGCCAGACCGCCATCGCTATTTTTCTTTCAGTCAATTCAGCATCACCCCTACTTGTCAAGAGTTTCAAATCCACCACATCCTGATCTTTAGACAAGCGGAAAGGGATTCACATTCATCTGATCCGTGCATGTGATTTCTCGCCGAAGGCGTAAAGCAGGAGCACCAGTTTCGGTTATGCATAGTTGTTCCATCTCACAGTCACAAATGAGGAAAATCCCGTAAGATGAGGCTTGATTTTTCTTCGTATTGCGTTCTCTACGGCGCCCAAAACAGAGAAAAAATTATGGACCACGGATGACGTTAGTGGCCTTCGTAGGTAGAAGTGCCTCTACCTCAATCTCTCAACAAGATGACTTTCTCAATGCGTAAATTCTAGATAAGTCCAGATACACATGGAACAACATGATGATACTATGGGTGAGTCGAGGTATTGATAATCTTCTTGGTTTAAATTTAATGGAAACTTCTACGGGCTTTTAGTTATACTGAATCACAAAAATAGAAGATCAAGCAACCAGCATGACGAAGATGCCGCGTTTGAATTATATGTGAGTTGTTCATTTACATTGAATATCTTTGGATCTCTCCCGACGCAAGAAAACAATCATCGATGGATATAGTTGGAAAAAAAATGAAATCAACACGATAAAGTCGATAGGCCCAAGTAATTCCTAACTGAGACTGATGGGCTGCAGCTGCTCTTCATTAGTATTATTCTCTATCTATCTTGATCTTCCACTTTGTGCTCGTAGTTAACATGATGTCATCGTCGAACAAGAACACTTATCAGGCTATAGCCGCTTGTTCAGTTGGCAATGTAGCTATCCACCTTGAGGAAGCGATCGTCTTAGAAGTTAGTAGATCATCTAAATTTTTGAAGTTAGTTAGTTACTATAAGACGCCTGGTGGTGCTCCAACATCATGCAGCCCGAGAGCCATACGCGGGGCCCAATTAGTCCGCTGGTATTAAGAAAAGATGGTCGCGATAAATATGACTCAGCCGTAACACAAGAAAACGCGAGGCAGTGGCGAGCTCGCCCAGAGCAGTCGCGACCCAGGGGGACCAAAAGGGCGCGGCATCCAGGCCAAGACGGCAAGCTACGGCTTTAAAGATGCAACGCCACTGCTACTGCGGGAAAGTGTGCGGGACTCGCGATGAGCGTGCCGCTCGAAGGCGACCAAGTCGAGAACGATGGCGGTGAAGAGGTACCAAGCAAGGCAGAAGCGGGTCAGAGTCCGAGGGATTGAAGAGCGCAGAGACATACTCCAAGCACTGGCGCAGGTGGAACGAACCGACACCGAGAGCCAGCCGCGTCCCCACAAAAAGGCCACACGGTGGGAAGCAGTCCACGCTCTGCAATGCGCTCAGGCCTCACGCTGGCACCTAAAACAGACGCCGCCACCCGCTGCGCGGTTCGTCCTTCCCCCTGTAATGACCGCAAGGCACACCCAAGGCCCGCGCGCCCCCCGAGAAAAGTCGAGGGAACAGAAGACGCCCACGCTGACTGAGTGCCTGCGTGCCAGATCTGACAAGACGCCCCGCGCTTCCTCCCCGAGTAGTTGACTCCTCCAGCAGTACTCTTGTCTGGCCTCGTCCGAGGTCTGGCCATCGGTCCCAGACAAGCCGACAAGTTAGCTGCGCCTTCAGCCCCAGCGTGCGCAGAGAGTCAACAAGCTCACTTATTTCTTTGGCACCCAGCGTGGGAGTTCACACGCTGCGCTCGGCCCGAACAATAACAGAAGCGGCACGCGAGCAAAGCTCCCCGAGGTCTGTCAGCCGGGCCTGCTCCGCCAAGGTGCCCAGGCCCGCCTACGCCGTCGGCAGCCGTCATGGATTCCAGCCAAGCCACCAGACTAAGGGAGTCTATGAGCCGAGTGATTCGCTTCCCAGAAGTGCAGCCCGTGCTGATGAGCTGCCGGGCCGTGTGGTGGAAAGCCACCCAACCGCTTTCGGCGCTGCTGCGTGCACGATAAGCACCGCGAAGCAAGAAGCGGGCGCACCAGGTGGCTCCCGATCAAGATTCCCGCAGCGGGTCCCTCGCCGTGCTTCTCCTTCTGCTTCTCTTTAAGTCTGAAGAAACAAGCCCCCGGCGGTGGCGACGACTAGAACGCCAGCCGCCCGCGAGGACCCACGCAGAACTTCACCGACTTCCAGGCTGACGGCCTCAGTGTCTCGAGTCTGACCGTGTCCAGAACGAAAGGCTGAGCATGGGAGGGAGGCAAGGGCAACAACAGGCGGGCCCCCTGGCGAATAGAAGAGAAGCCCCAGCCACTCTTCTGCAATACGCGCTGGGCGTTCTGGAGCCAACCGGGGGCAAAGCCTGCCTGGCCATTGAGAGTTCACGCGCATACGCTGCGAAGGCCCGCCGGCAGCTCATGGCATGCGACTCACTGGGCGGCGGCCGTGCTCGATCGCCAGACTGCTCACGAAGTGACGCCAGCAGGGGACAGAGTGCCCGGCCGGGGGGCTCCCAACTGGTTTTCCATCCGCGATATCCCCCAGATGCTGTCGACGCGTCTGCTGCCACCACGTTGCGAGAGCGGGCCCATACTGCGAGGGGATCAGAACCAAGCCAAGCACGAAGACCAGTGGGCGCGAGCCCGCAGTAGAGGGCGAGGCTTCGTCATACCCCAGCGAAGAAATGGCGCTACTTTGAAGCGCCGCGCCCAGGCCCCGCGTGTCGCACCCCATCCACCAACATGCACGAAGCTCATGCGTAGCGATTGAAGGCGCAGGCACTCACAGCCAAAAACCAGAAGGATCCGAGGCACATGGAACGCGCTTGCCCAATGGCGACGCGCTGCGCCAAGGGAAGTGCGTGGGTGTTGATCGTCCGAAAGTCAGACCGCGCGGTAGAAGGACCCCACGCGGCTAAGGCTATGGCGAGCGCGAGCGTTACAACTTGCGTCACCGAGCAGCGAACTGCCATCGAGGAGGCAAAGAGCTTCGCCCCCCAAGAGTATCCCATGACTTTCCGAAAGGTCGGCGAGAGGATACCTGGCAGCACAATAAGCCCAGAAAGTCAAGAGGAGGCGCGTCCGCTCTCTCCTGTGCGCGGCTTTGATGGCGAGCCTCCGCCCCCCAGGCATGTAAGCCCAGAACGGAGAGCACGAGGCCGACAGTCTTACTAGCGTCCGGCTTCAGGTGGACGAGGGTCGAAGTGAGCGCCTGCAACTTTTCGCTTTGGGAGAACTCAGTGCACCTGGCCACCCGCTCGGAGTCCGTGTCGTCCACAACTAGGAGGGTTGCCCCTCCATCCGCGTAGAAGGAGGCGCCCCCAGCACCGCCTCCGCTGAGTTGCTCAAAGTCCTTGTGGGTGAGGAGGCGACCCACTGCCAGAAACGCTCCGCCCCACCGGTATAAGAGGCGGCTGCTGTTGGCAGTGGGCTCGTTGGAGATCGCGGCGTCGAGCCCTCGGCGTATCGCTCTGGACGAGGGGAGGGCTTCCCTGGGTGCGCCGGCGCGGTCCGTGGTTGCACGCTTGCCCTTCCCCTTGCCCGCTCGCGGGGGCGCGTCCCCCGGTTCGGTTTCCTCCTCCTTGCCACCAGGTGCTCCTGGGGCAGCTGCGGACTCTCCGTCACCCGCAGCAGGGGGCGGCGGCTTGGGTATCTTCTCCCCTTGCGGTGGAGCTCCGTTGCGTTCAGTCCGGTCGACAGGGGGGACCCCCGAGGCGGTCCCGTCCACGTGGGCGCCATCGGTGCCAGGCGGGTCCGGGGAGCTTCAGAAGACGGGCGAACGCAGCATGCGCAATAGAAGGCCTTCCACACGGGCCCAGCTCGGCGCCGTCGACGACCAGTAGTCGCGCTCAGGAGACCCAGACGGAGCTGCGTGCGAGTGTGCGTGGTCGCGAGACTCCCGCGGTGGCGCATCGTGTCGCCAAGTCCCGTAGCGGGGGGCACGAGGAGGGAACCAATCCCGACGAGGGTATTCGTCCGCGTAAGCCGGGCCACGCCAGGTCGTCGGAGGCGGCGCCTCAGGCCAATGCGGAGGCGGATCATGATGAGGCCCATGTAGGTGAGTCGGCGTGGCCGGAGGCGGATACCAAGTACGAGGCGGCCCATCACCGCGCCCCGAGCGGGGCGGGTACCACATGCCATAGCCATCCGGACCGTAGATGGCCGGCCCCATCTTCCGACATTAGGTAGACGCTCAAACGAGTGAGAAAGGGGTGCTATTGTTGCGCTGAGGCAAAGCAAAGCTCTGCATTGAATCTAAATTTTTGAATTAACATCTAGTACAACAATTGAGAAGCTATAGTAAATATGAACTGTACTATGTCTATGCGTATTTGTGCGAGTGCGAATTCAAGATGATACTCAAGCCACCTCTTTTTTTCCTTATCCGTAGGGATCACGTGGTCGCAGTGTTCAGGTAATTATAGCGTCCCGTCAATTTCATGTTGCCTATTAGATACGATATTCGAGTTTTTGTCTTTAAACTACTTTCGGTTCTTAATGAGCTTGTTAGGCCCTTGCCTTTTCTAGTTCTTCCAATTTACTCATATTCTTCTAATCATGTCCTGGTGCTGCAACATAGGCCTTTTACGAGACTTTGGCAGTACGACTACGAGCAGGACGCCGCGTATGAAGGTCAGCCAGAGCCTTACGCTCGTATGAGGGACACCCAGCCCCAAAACGCGCCGTGGGATTTGCAGCGGTGGGTCCATACATGCCGCAGTCACATTAGAAGGAAGCGCTAGTATGCGTAAGGATGAGATTACTCTAGTTGTAAACGTAGACTCGCATCCGGATATAGCCATCATGAGACCCACAGTTAAGAGAAATTAGGATACATAGGTCATCATGCTAGGCAGGTTGCAATGGCCTAGTGAAGGAAAAATCGTTCTCATCTTGAGAAGAGAAAGAGTCGAAAAACACTGCATGCCGTAAATAATGCGTCCTTCACGTTTATCCACCCATCCCGCTGCACTTGCTTGCCACGCAACGAGCTTTCTGTCACTGTCAGGCGAGGTCGGGTCCGGCTTCTCATATCCAAAATGCCACCCACTCGATTGCAGTGCGTTCAGCTGCAACCTGCCATGGGGATTACGTTTACCGCCAGGGGCGGCGGGGGGCTTCATCGCAATCGGTATTGTCTATTGGAGCACAAAGAGCAGGGCACTGTCTATTATACGCACTATTACCTTATTGAGTAGTGCTTAGTAGGACTCTATCTTCTGACGGCGCTGCATTTATTGCAGAGCAATTTATATTATAGTATAAGGCTTCACAGACACAGCTCGCACGGCATGGAGTGCATGGATCGCATGGAGTAGCACGGAGCTAAAGGGGGAGCTTCTTGCGCCCCTTAAAGCTCTGCGCTCCATGCGCTCCATGCTACTCCATGCGCCATGCGTGCTATGAACTACTCTGCTATTGTATGCATAGGACGCACAGCACCTCTACAACGTGCATCATAGATACAGAGGAGCAGGAGCAACGAGAAGGAAGTACACTGTACTCAAAAGTTGTACGACGTACACTACGTCGTGCATTACTGATTTACAACATATGCCATAAGTGTATACGGAGAGAAAGCCGCCTTCGTTGCGGAGATTTTCTCCTATGTCTGCATACGCGCGGTCGCCCCCGGTAGGGCTGCTCCTGGTTTCATCGCCATTAGACACCACAATCGCTCTTTCATCTCTGACGCGTTCAATGCTTCTGGTGTTGGTGGCGTGCATATTCACTTTACTGCTGGCCTTCTGATCCACTACCAATGCAGTTATTCTTAGAGGCAGTTATTGTAGTGAGAAACCGATAACAATGAGATACTTCTTCCGTTCCTGAAGCGTCTTAAGAAGGTAGGAGTCACCGCGGAAGAAGATCCTAAGTTGTGAGGTAATCCAGGGCCGCACGGGGGGGGAGGCCGTCGCCCCGCGCCCCGGAACATATTCATATAAGAAGGAACCAAAGTAACAAGAATACCCTTGGAAATGAATTCTGGCACTTTCTTGATTTGCCAGCCTACGCTTGAAAACGAGTTTGCTACTTCGATGCGCGTGGGCCCACGCTTGGAAATGGACAACAACAACAACAACAACAACAACAACAACAACAAGAACTATGCGCCTTAATATGGGATTCTCATTGGAACGTATTGGCATATTATTAATCCTGTCCTTTGTAGCTGTGTAAGCTTCATGCTTCCCAGCAATTGTGCCGCCAGGGCTGCTCACTGCATCCGCACTAGTATTAGAGCTCATGCTCAATATATTTATATATAATAATTTGATAGGCTACTTTGGCGTGAGATAAGAACTGCTGCCAGAGCGGTTCTTATAGGCAAGAGCCTGGCGTGTCTCTATTGGTGGACTGAGAAGCAGGAAAGAGAAGAGAATTATTTAAATGATTCAATAAATGCGTAAGTAGTAAAAATGACAACTTCAGAAGTAGTCAAGAAGAAGCCCTAATAGTATCAAACCCAATCTGCGTTGCTGGAAAGTTGTTCGTCAGCTTGGAGCGGCCATCCGAATGATGCACATCACGATCTGGAACAGCTGTGCATTCAGCCACTACGCTTTCGGTCGCAATGGTTTGCTTCAGGCACTTACCACAACGCCATTTTTCAGTGTTCTGTTCTTAGAAGAACTATTTAGTCAAATCCATCTCAGTTGGACCAATGGTCTTCAAGGTGAAGCAAGGTGTTACATAGATACAGAGAAGAAGATGGATTAAAAGCAGCCTTAATGCTGGCAGGATCCGTCGTGCCCGACTGGTGCGGACGGCGAAAAAAGGGCCCGAGCCTCATCGGGAATACCGGCATCTGGGATTGCGCGAGGTGGCTGCTTTTTGTTCTCGATCTCCTTTTGTTAGAGGAGGTTGAACAATTTCATTTTTAGATACAGATAGCAATACTTATGCTAAAACTACTTAGGTGAAGCTGAAGCTGAACATGACATTGGTAGCTTCTGTAGATGCAATGATAATCAGATGCTTGTATCAACATGTTGAATGCTTAATCTTGAGTGGGCATGCATCGTCCAGCCTCAATACAGCGTCGAGCGTTGAATATGCATTCGGAATGAGTTTGCTTTCCACCGGAACAAGTCCACATGTTTACGTTACGTATCCTTCCGAGAAGATTGCACGCTGCCTGCGCGCGGGTGTCCCCCTCTTCGGCGAGCGCGCTCCACTCATTGTGCTTGGTTACCAATGTCTCAGCGAACGACTTCGCGAAGTCCAGACGTCTTTCTCTTCCTGTCGCATCTTCGTAAGTAAACGAAGCTCAGCCAAGAGGATCCCTTGGGGGCCCTGCCTAAACCTTCGACTTTTCTGCCTAAATTTTAACTTTAGGCAGAAAAGTCCAAACTTTAGGCAGAAAAGTCCAAAACTTAGGCAGAAAAATCCAAAGTTTAGGCAGAAAAGTCCAAAGTTTAGGCAGAAAAACGGCTCGAATTTAGTCCACCGCCCCGCTCCGGAGCCACCGGGTGGCTCCGGGGCGCAGAAGTGAGCCGCTAGGCAGTGGCCTGGTGAACTTTTGGGCAGCCGACTCCGCCGCAGCGGCACACCACTAAAGCTGCCTAAACAAAGGCAGAATCTGCCTAAAGTTAAAATTGAGGCAGAAAACTCGAAGGTTTAGGCAGACCGCGAAGGGATCCTTTTGGCACAGTCTTCGTTCATATTGTAAGCCAATCGGTCAGTGCCACTCCACATGTTGCCAGGTGTTACTTCCAGCGTATCCCCTCTTACTGAGACTAAGAAATTGGAATTGTAGTCTTTTTCAATCCCCGGGAGCCTCCTCTCCACGCTTGGTGCTGATCCTTCTGGGTCGTCCTCTGCCTCTTTCATGTCTCGTGAGTCCTTCGCGGCCGCCTGCCGATAGATGAACTGCGCCAAAGCCTGAGTCGCGCGGTCCCTTTGTGCCGCAGTCATTTCCGTATCGGGATTGCAATCAGTGAGACTCTTGAAGGCGGCCTCGTCTGACTCCGGCACAACTTCTGGGAGCGCACGATAGCCACGCGTCATGGGAGGTGGTGGATCGCTCGAGGATGAAGACGGCGAGGGCGCCGCTTCGGAAGTCATAAGCGCATGCTCTGACATTCTTCGCAGAGTTTTCTTCCCGCTATCGCCACCCGCGTGAGCCGTCAGATGTGCAATGCCGTGCTCATCGTCTCGAGTATCCACGAAAGTCATATCAAGGAAATCCAATCCCTTTTCTTCTTCTGTTTCTTTTGATTTTCTTAGGGGAGAAAAATTGCTAAGTTAAAAACACAGTGGTCCCCGAGAGCCGATAAATTAATAATACAGTCGAAAGATTAGAACCAAATTAAGTAAGTACGAACAAATTACCACTATCTAACTGTCCCACATTCTTGAAGTCATGGTCTTAATTTTAGACGATCGCCCGGTGCGAGGGGTTGCGGAAGTTCGTCCAGAATTTTTCTTTTAGAGGTATGCTTTTTGTGTGCGTATGTCCCGTTTGTTAAGCCATAACAAACGGTAACAGGAACACTTTTAGCCTACCCGTAAGTTTTGTATGTTTATCCTTGTACAGAGATAATTTCTGAAATCCCGGATTCCAATTGCTCCCAGGAGTTGTCTTCTGCGTTAGAAGGAAGAAAAGTGTACACAGAATATCAGTACTTTCTTATCCTTATGCTTATGGCGTCCTACATATAATTGTTCTTTTATTGAACAATTAAAAATATTATAAACACCGTCCCTTATAATATACGATCAAAATCAATTTAGCGAGTAGTTCAGTTGTCACCACGTTCGATGCTTCAGCTACAACTGCTACACCTGCAGCCTGCTACTGTTAGTTAGGATGCCTTAATGGCGCAGCTCCTGCGGCTTTACCGCCAGATTTTGGAAGAACAGACGAAGAAGATGCACCCGCAGCAGCCTTAGCGGTAGCGCTTCGGTGTTTCTGTATTCATCTTTCCGCTTACAGGAGTCAAGAAAAATAACGGCAACAGAAACACCAAGAACTTGCCCTTAACAGACGATGACGAAGAGGATGAGGATGCACCGCCAGATGTAGTTTTGCCACCTTTTCCTTTGCCTCCAGTTAGTCCGCCTTTACCGGGAGTTGGTCCTCCTTTGCCACCTGGACAAGGATTCCATTGAAGAACAGCTTTTCTAGTGCACTGCCTCAGCAGGACCAAAAGAGAACGCGAGGGCGAGACCATGACTTTTTTTGTTATCATATATTGTTTGTAATCTTCTTCGTACTAGTGAAGTCCTCCTCCGCTTCATCTCCTTCTTAAACTTAGTTCAAAAAGAAAAATAAATTGGAGATGAATCTATACAGACATAGAAACATACGAAAGACCAATCCGAGCTACTTGATGTTGTAGGTGCCAAGTAGACGATGAAGTACTTCTTCTAAACAAAACCAAAAGTATCTAGTGAATTTACCCGAATACGTCCCCAGCAATTGCGACCCACAGCAGTTGCATGTCGCGCAGTCGGTTGCGTACCTGTGAGAAGGAAAAAAGGAGAGAGAGCAGTCAGAGAGACAGAAAGAATCACCTCCCGAACGGCGATGGATCATGGAGGTCTGTGTACGTCCAGCTGTAGCACATTCCTTTGTGATTGAGAGGGTAGTTACTTGGTGAGGTCTCTGAAGCGCGAAAAAAGTAAATGCAAGCATTAAATACCAACTAAGAAAAACCAAAAATGTACTAAAACACGAAGTACCTACTAGCAAAGTCCTGGTCTTCTAGGATCGAGTCCGCGAGCCAGTCGTTAAGTTTACCTGCGCTGCTCAAATGATCACGACCCTGCGAAATTGTGTCCGCGATCCCCATCTCTTTCAGGATTAGAAGAAGAGACAAGATTCTGTGCAGTGGATTGTACAGGTAAACGTAAGCGGCTATGAGCGAAGTACTTAGTTACTCTTGTTCCCGGCGACTCACTAGGAGAAGGAAAAATATTAACCACGATGTTGACAGGCCATTAATTATGTCACAGTCAGTATGAGTATGACCGTGAGGTCCACATTGTTCATCGTGGGGTCTTGGTTGTGGTGTCTTCGTCCCTCGTGGTGTCTTGTTCGTCGTGCACAATATAATCCTTCATGATTAGTAACACGACATATAATTTGTGACAGCCTTAAAAGTATCCTGTAGGTCGAGTCAGAATTGCATTGACCTGGTGTGCTGCACTCGATTCCCGTGTCGTCTCTTGTGAATCGGCCTGGAGGGTCTTTTGACTCGAAAACTTTGATAGCGTGGCCATCCACGTCGCTAGTGTCTGCTCGCCCGTCTTTCACCACTTCAGGGCCATAGCCCTCTACTCCGGGAAGACGTCGCACACGACCTTCGAGAATCTTACTCTTAGAGGACCTAGTAAGAAGTACCTCTTCTACCTGTAAAGAAATAATCCTAGTAATAATCGTAAAAATTTTTAGGATCTAATATGGATCATGAAGCCACCATAACGTTGCCTGCCTCGTCCTTTAAAATATTCCCTTCGGCATCACGGATCGGGATACCCGGTTCGCCCAATGGCGGCTCATATTCAAAGCCTCTAAACTCGATTCCGAGTGAGTTGCAGACAGCAGTTGCGACCGCGTTGTCTCGGGGCACGCCACCTGCAACATTGCCATCCCGCATTTCTTGGGCAAATTTGTCCAGGCCAGCAGGCTGGTAGGTATACATTTTTTGTGCCTTTCCATCAGCGCCCAGTGACCAAGAGACCGCTACGACGTCACCAGGGATCGTTCTTTGTGCAGTACCTAGCTGTCCGACACTGCCGTTAGGCAGAACCACAGGTGTTTCAGGATCCAAATCGTCGGCTTGTGGGTGTGTCGCACGAAGCGCTCTAGAGACCTTCTCCTCCTCGATGTCTCTCTCAGTCTGGGCCTCAATAAGAGGCCTACCGCGTTCGTTCATCATTAACTCCCATTTATTTAGTTGTTCCATCCTGCCGCGTGCAGCATTCTTTGCTCCGGGTTCGATTCCTTCTACCGTGGGGTGGAAAAAACCTGCAGCAATATCACGCATTTCGGCATCAGTCGGTGGTGATCTCCTGTCTCTCCCTGAAGAAGCAGTCCCACTTTGTTCTGCACTAGGTACGCCAGAAGATGAAACAGCACCAGCACTTTTCCAATGCACGCCATGTTCACCAGCATCAAGATGATCTCCCGGAACGCCTGTCGCGGCAGCCCGCACACGACCACCAAGCGGACCTTCGGGGCCATCCCCTGGCCGATCAAAACGAGATCCGGCCATAGGAACTCTAGTAGGGTCCGTGTCTCTTGTGCCTGTGACTGGGTCAACGAGACCAGGCTCCGCTCCAGCCGCTGGGTTTCCACTCACTCGCCAATCTTGTACTGGCGCAGGAATGTGACCCTCTCTACCGTGAATAGCTGCTGCGATGAAAGGCGCACCAGATACTCCGCGATCAGCATTCTTTGCTCCGGGTTGGATCCCTTCTACCGCGGGGTTGAAAAAACCTGCAGCAATATCACGCTCGCGCATTTCGGCATCAGTCGGTGGTGATCTCCTGTCTCTCCCTGATGAAGCAGTCCCACTTTGATTTGCACTAGGTTCACCAGAAGATGAACCAGCACCAGCACTTTTCCAATGCACGCCATGTTCACCAGCATCAAGATGATCTCCCGGAACGCCTGTCGCGGCAGCCCGCACACGACCACCAAGCGGACCTTCGGGGCCATCCCCTGGCCGATCAAAACGAGATCCGGCCATAGGAACCCTAGTAGGGTCCGTGCTTCTTTTGCCTGTGACTGGGTCAACGAAAACAGGCTCCGCTCCAGCCGCTGGGTGTCCACTCACTCGCCAATCTTGTACTGGCGCAGGAATGTGACCCTCTCTACCGTGAATAGCTGCTGCGAAAGGCGCACCAGTTACTCCGCCAAACGGTAAAGAACCATCACCACCATTTTGACCACCATTGATGTCCTCAAAATTAGCTTTCTTCACCCCACCTTCAACCTCGTCAAGCTTGCTATCGACCACATTTGTGTCGTAGAATCCTTTCCTACCACCAAAATCATTGGCACCAGCACCGCTGTCACCGTCATCACCTCGAATAGGGATTTCATCCATTTGCTCCTGGTCTTTGGATTAGAGGATAATCGGATGGGAAATCCATCTTAACCTTTGGACACCCTTCGCTTTCTAAATTAATTCTCAGACTCAGTACAGGTTTCTGAATTCTCACTATGAGACGGATTCCCTTTCCTAGCTCCAGATCTAGAGAAACTAGCCTCTACTACATCCTTAACTTTGAAGATTCTCCGCATCGCGCTTCTCTTGCATTTCCTTCTGATATGCTTTTGCCTGAGCTTGGGCTTGCGCATCCATCTTTTTTTGAATCTCCTGTAAAACCCCTTCTATGCTCTTCGTCGCCGCCCTATACCACGCATCCAGTCCGGCTTCAATGGTAGCTTTCGCCAAATGCTTCGTAATGCCATCCACAGCTGCTTGGACAAACTCCTTCTCGATGTGCTCTCTTAAGAAAGCCATAATCTCCTTGTCGAGTTGGTCCAACAGTTCGTCAATCTTGACCTCTAGGACCTGCTTCCCTACTCTGGAATTCGGAGCTGCGAGAACCGACATTCTCTCGAAGTTCGTAGACCCCGCTGAACCACTCCCACCAGACGGAGCATTGCCAGCATGATAAACGTGCGACAGGCCGTGTGCTTTGATGACTTGCTCCAGCGTCAAGAGACCTAAAAGCTTGTTGGAAAAGTCGCGGCCGACGTTCTCGAGTTTGCTCCATTCGTGCAAGGCACTTAAAATGCGCAATGGCGCTAGAGCAGCCCACCTTTGCATGTTGTCCTTGTTAAACACTGACTGGTTCGATTTGCCGAAGCTACTCCCAAAAATCTGGGCATTCTCCTGGCCCTCCTTCCCCGCTTGGGCTTGCATAGTCTGTTGTACCTGGATCTCCCGGATTTTCTTCGCAAAATTGATGAAATCCGAAAAACTATCGTCCTCATCATAGGTCTTGCGGACCTGGCCCATCTGCGCTTTGATAACCTCTTCGCCTCGAAAAGGATCTGAATAGTACTGAAAAATCCGCATTGCGGCATCCCGTAATTTCAGCTTATTGCGCTGATAGTGTCTTCCCTTGATGATTTTCTCATGCAGTTTCTGGATAATCTTGTCAGTCACACTGCGTTGCATAATCCACTGCGTCAATCGCTGACTCAGGTTCTGCTTGATGCCCTGAGCAACGCCCATCAGCAATTTTGCTCCAAAGCGTTGGACCTGCATGAAAGCGATCTTACCACCACCAGCCCCAAGTGCTACGCCGCTCGCACCCGAGATGGCTTTGTCCGCGTCAAAAGCTCCCCAGCCACCGCCATTCTCCTTCGACTGACAGACCGCGCTCAACCCTAAAGAAAATACCGTCTGCGCCATAGACGGCAACTTGACGTTCTTCCACCATCGCTTTATGTGCGGACAGTCGCCTTTCATCAAAGCGTCTACAGCGAAGGAAATATCGCTGCCACCCTCATCGCGCAAGATCTGCGATATCGGCTGCAAATACGGAATAAACGAAATGGCCAGTTGGATGACACCGAGAGCACCAATGATCATGGCGTGGAGGATGTAACGAGGTGACTTCAAGAAAAAAACTCGCTGTAAGCCCATCTCGGTAGTGATGAACTCTTCGAGAGACGTGTCAGTTTTTTCCTGTCCCTGCTCCTTGGCTTCTGCTTCAAGCGCCTCCATGATGCTCTTGGTATCGTCGATTTTCAGGTATCTGTAGATATTTATTGTGGGATTCAGATGAACGTGATCGACAAGTTGATTAAGATTATGGTAAGATGAGAATCAACAATCTCCATCGAACTCATCACTTCGAGGAATAGGCACAAGGATTCTTCAAGAACGGTGAAATCGAAGATGCTGCTCTTATCGCATCATCAATCGCCATAATCAGTATACTTATAATTTATTAATCAGTAAAAATCGGAAGTAATCAGGAGTAAAAATAGTACGGCTCCAGTTTCAGCTTCCCTATGTCTCGCTTGATTTGCGCCAGCACATGGTCAAGCATCTTCTCCAGGTCTGTATCCGCCTGATCACTTGAATAGACGTCCTTGATAATGGGCACTAAAGTTTTCAAAATGTACTTCAGTCGTTTCGGAAACTTTCGTTTGAGACTGGGGTCTACCTTGACGACTGCTTGCTCGACTTGGTCGCGTATAGCCTCGATGCGGTCTTCAGCGTCCTCCCAAAAGGAGCTGTAAGTGTAATCCATCGAAAATTTGGCGCGCAGAGGCAAAAGGGCTCCGACTTCGTGAAGCCGCGAGAACATATCTTGGCTTTGTGCCCGACGCAACGAAGCCAGAGTGACATCCGTCGCTTTAACGTCGAATTTCTGAGCTTGCTTGGTTGCCGGGGTGGCATCCAAAGAGCCCAAACGATCTAGAAGCGCATCATCCTTGTCGCTCATTGCAGTTGGCTGTCCACTGGGGCGAGCTTTTTGACCACCTCCAACTAGCAAGTTCCTGTGCATATCTTGCGTATCGATACCATGTCGAAAAGCAGCGTCAAACTGGTCGCAGACTTGCTTTCGTAGCTCGTTCAAAGCAGTGCCAACATTGTTTCTTCGTAACTTGTGCAATGACAATAGGAATCGCTGTGATTTGTGCGATTTGGATACCGCGTTGAGCCTGAATCCAGTGGGTAGGTCGAGAAGGAGGTTCTGTTCAGTACACATCCTCGAGGAGCTTGATGCTCCTACCCTAGTCCCACGGCGCCTACTTGCAGCAAGCTGCAAAGACCTCTGCAACGCTCTTTCTTCAGCGAGGGCAGCTGGCAAACTCGGATGCTGAGGTATATCGTCTTGACGAACGAGCGGTAAGATTTCTTGACGGGTCAAAGCCTGGGTGCTGTGATCCTGATGATGTCCGAGACCTGAAGCTGCAGCTGAACCCGAATAAAAGGTAACTTCAAACAAAGTCGGGAAGTCGAGTTCTGCTTTCAATTTTTCTTCATCAGTGTTTAGGATGTCACGTAATTTCGGAATATGCTGCACCGCGTTTGAGACGAAATCGTGTGCGACGCCTTTTCCTAAAATGTCTAAACCTACGGCCGCTTCCTTAGCTGTGATAATACGTTTCACAAAACCTAGAGCTCCATCCTGAGCGCGAAGAACGGGAGAGCCAGACTGCACTACTAAGCCATATCTTGCGCGAATGCGTTGAGTGGGGAGGTCGCATTTCTCTTTATTGCCGACACGTGGAGTCGCTAAATCAACATCGACATACGCAGCGAAAGGAGTCTTTTTCGATAAGCCACAAGCTTTCACTTGCGTTTCTTCCAGTCGGTATCGGGTTCGCACGTTGGAGAGAGATTCACCTGATAAGACCTCAGCTTCATTGGACTTACCCGCTGCTTTCAGGACATCATCTCCTTCCTTGAGGGTCATTTTATGGAAGTCGCCTAGCTCGCGGACCGTTAACCCTGCTCCGTCTCTTGTCGCGACAAAGTCAGCGTCCAGAGCGATGGCAACTACGTTGGTGTCTTGCTCCATCAATGCAGGACAAACACTCCTCGAGAAGTCCGAAATATGCTGCGTCCTTTCGTCTTTCATCGTGGCATCATCTTGATCCTCATCGTTCGTTGCTGCCTGTTGTAGAAACCTTGCTTCAGCAAACTGTTTTTCCCTATCGTGCGCAAACTGCAAGTATGCGATCTCAGTTTCTGTTTGGCGCCTCCTGTCAAACGCGTTTCCGTAGCTATTCAACATCGACAGAAGCCACTTTTCTTTCGTATCTTGATCTGTATCAGTGCGCCCTCCCCAAGTGACTGCGCTCGCGCGGAAAGAATGCACAGGATCTGAGTACCAGGCAGGAGCACTGAAGATAACAGAAGATAGGAAAGCTGCTTTTGCTAGTCGCTTTTGGAACATCTTTATGTATGTCGAGTCGTCATCTATGTTTTCCTGTCCCTCGACTTTCGTTGTCGAGGAACGCAGCACCATAGCCGCGTCCGTTGCTGCAGAAACAGCACTGTCGTCGATCGTCGAAACGTGGGCAGAATCAAGTGCACTTTGGACTCGGTGGACAAAATGAGTAGCGGAGCTTGTTGTTCTTGGGTTAGATGATGCATCAGGAGTCTCCGCTTGGAACCTAGTTCCACTCCCAGCACTGTCGCTTGTCTGAGTGTACGTCTCCACGATCCCCCTCAGTGTATCTTCGAAATAAGACGGTTCCAAAAAGCGACTTAGCAGAAACACTTTTCCGATCCCCGCCCCAGACACAATGTCCAGCAAAGATCGGAAGTAGGTCTGCTGCAAAAGCCGAGTTCGATAGCTTTTCCAGGCACTTGGAACGGCGTAGATCGCTCGTCCACTCAACTGGGCCCGACGCATCCGTTCCCCGATTGCGGTTGCGTCGTGCTCGGCTATTTCTTTCTGTATCTCTGCTGCGTCAGGGGTGTCTTCCTCCTCAGGATCCTCGTAAATAGTCGGAATCGCTTCAATTTCTCTTTCCTCAATTCCAGCAGTAGCAACTTGGAGTAAAGACGCAAAACGCGGAGGAACGTGTTCTCCCGCTATTGGCTGAAAAAGTTCCTCCATATCCAGGCGAACGAGCTTGTTGGGCTTCGTGTCCTTACCTTTTTTACGCCAGAACACATGTTCTAGTCGGTGCAGCATGCGTGTTGGAGAGACGGTTCCTAGAAAGTCGTTTAGGATGGATTTCTCTTCCTCGCGATTTGGTGACCACTCACCAGTATCGACATCAGAGTCCTCACCTCCTGTACTACTTGAAAACCCTCCAGCGGAATGCTCATCATCTTCATCATCGCCACCTTTTGTTAAAGACGACCTGCACCCACAAAAATCGCCATCCTCGTCTTCTGAGCCACCTAGAAAGTCATCATCGTCTGCTTCTAGAGTTTCACTCTTCATGTTGAAAACCCTCGACGCCGCAATCGAAGGAGCACCACTTTCAAATACTGCAGCCGTGGTGTAGTCGGTGAACAAGGGGTGCTTACTCTTCCCTGAAGCTGGTGGTGCTTCAGGAGAAGTAAAAATCGAGCTCTCCGGTTGTATCTTAGACGGGCATTTGCAGGAACTTGCTAGTCTCGCAGACAGACGCTCCAGTTGTGAAACAACCTGCTGTCTCACTTCAGGACTTCTCAAACGATCTACGTCGTCAACTGAGAGCGTCAGCCGTTCTGAAAAAGTTGCTCGCATCTCACGAACGAGCAGTAGAGCAGAATCTTCTTCTTGAGTCCAAGCATTTGAGTTTCTAGTTCCTTGAGAAGTGCTGGGTGAAGACAGCTCTGCGAGTACTTTTCGGATTTCAGCATTGATGGCAGTGTCCTCATGCTCGACTCGTCCATGTGTTGCTGACATATGCTCTTTGTGATTTTTATCAATCTCCGCAACAGCGACAGGGATGATTTTCTGAGCAACGTCTGCGATCCCCTTCAACAACCGTTGAAATGGAAACTGAGCGCGATCTTGGGTTCGCACCCAACCAAGCCTTCCGCGAGACGTCAGCGAATTGCGGTCTGCCACGGCTGGCGGAGGAATGCTATCACGACCATCGGCTTTTTTCGCTGACGTTTTCTGTTGTTGCTTTTTCTGTGCTAGGTCAGTTGGGGTCAAGAGCTCATTCGAATTTTCTCCTATATCTGTTGCACTAGGAGGTGCAATTTCCAAAGCAGCAGTGACAATTTTCGATCCCGATGTTGTGTAATTGTCAGCCGCACCAGCAGTACTAGAACTACACAGGGCATCTGTGAAGACTTTGACCGGGTCACTTTCCGTACTCGGAGTGAGTCGAAAAGAATTTGGCGCAAATGAGACGTCCAGAAAGCACATGTCTGCACTGTACTTTGCCTTGCTCTCGTCTTCTAGCAGAAGATTTTTCAGACGGCGATCGAGCTTGCTTACATCGCCCATGTCGACGGTAACTTCCTGTTTCTGTTCCATATGCGCTAAAACTCTCCGAGCTACCGTTTTCCACTGTGCTTCTGTCAAAAGCCCTTTAGCAGCCGCAGAATCGAAGCGCAATTCGACACCCTTGCCCACTCCAGTGAACACCGTTCGCATGTCCTGGGAAGGGACTTCATGAATCACTTTGGTGCCAGATGAACCAGACGGATGCAGCGAAGCTTTGGTTCCACCTGAAGCACCTTCACCCATGAAATCCTTTACAAGCTCAGATTCGAGTTCAGCCCTTGTCGCTTCCCGACCCCTGTTTCGAACAGCGAAGACCTTAGCCACCGCGCGCCATCGCTGCAGGACGAAGTTAGACAAGGCAGAGGCGAGACGCAAAGTGTAGGGCACTTTGGAGCTAGCGTCGGGTGTAGTTGCGTGAGTTGTCACATCAGGCTGCGCTGCGCCACCAGGAGCTCCACTCGTCGTGCCTGGTGCTGCTTTCTGTTCTTTCGCCTCTTTTTCCTGTTTCTCAGCTTCCAGTCTTTTCTGAGCAGCTTCGTAGAATCTTTTTGATGCATTTAGAACACGGCCCGCGATGTTGATTTGATTCTGCGTGTTCGACAAGCTGGCTTCGAGAAAGCGTATCTCGGCTGTCACGCCATCACTCTCTTTCCGAATTGGGAGCAATTTCGGATGTAACGATAACTCGGCGTCATCCTCATCAAGACCTCTTCTAGAAGTATCATGACGTCCGCTAGGACCAAATAACGCAGCCTGCAACTGCGCCAAGACTTTTCCCGCAGCGTCGCGACCTTCGCGCGTCTGTGCTAGCACTTGAGAGCGTTTATCTGCAATCGCTTTATGCTGTGTTCGAAGCTGGTCTTCCAAATTTCTCAGCTTCTTCACCATTTCCTCGATGCTCGTGCAGATCTTGTCGTATCGTTCTTGCTCTTCAGCTGTGGGTGAGGGGATCTTTGTCGCAGAGAAGGCTGTGGCAGAAGATTCTGGCTTTTGCTGCTCTCTCTTCTGCTCTGTCTTCTCTTGTTTCGCCACCAACGCCTTTCGCTGATCGAACAACGACTGCAACTGTGTACGCCAGTCCTGCAGCGTTCTCGTTTCAACCTGTGCGTGTCCTGTTGTAGTCTGAAAAGTCAAATCTTGTTTTGGGAGCAATGGGTTACTCGTGTTCCCCAGATAATCAGGACTAATTCTGAGTTGATTGTCAACCTTTTCAGCAAAAGCGTCCAGTTCAGCACTAGCAAGTTCGAGCTGTTGACTCCAGGTATCTAGAATGGTAGACACAGGCATGAGTTTGGCAGCAAGAGAGCGCTCGGCAACGTTGGTTGTGTTGGGACCAACTTGATCTGTGGTTTCTCGGGGTTGCTCTCGTTTCTTGACCTCTTGATTCTTCGTGTAGAAGATTTTGTATGGCGTTTTCTTATGAAATCCAGATAAATGCGGCGCATTCACGCGTTCCAGGTACTCATGGATGGACTCCGATTCCGATAAAACCGTAGCCTTGAAATCGTCAAACTCCGTCCACTCATTCGGCCCCGTTTTAACTACAGCTACGTAGTGACCGGCTCCTCGAGTCTGTCCCATGTGAAAGACAATTGAGAAAAGAGTGTAAGAGTGAATATCGACAGAGCCAGAAAAAGTAGTCGTGCTTCCCGCGGCTACTTGAATGCCACCATCTTCAATTCCGTCTATCGTTGTCACACCCGACACAGGATCGGTTTTGGTCACCAGACGAATTTCTTCTGGAATATGCAATTGCTGCGAACTCTTTTCGTACATGATCTCCCCCCTTTCCTCGTTATACCCACTTTCGGTGAATCGGTTTAAAGTAATGCGGAGTACCTGGGGTAGGTCGGATGCTAGCTCAGTTTCTCGCCACGCGGCATATTCCGTTCCTGTGTTGCCGTTAGCTGAGGTCGTTGTTCGTTGCAATTGGAAATACTTCGCGGCCGTGCCAAAATCTTCGTAGGGTGACAACCCTGTAGTTAAGCCCGAAACTGAGTCAACAGAAAAAGTCGAAGAAGCGTCTTGCCAATGCGGACCCGGACCCAACTCGCGACGCAAAGCCTGTACTACGGAGTCGTCACTCGGCTTGTACGGCAGCAACCAACCGGTGAAGTCCTCAACAATACGTCTGTGAGTTGGCACGGCAAGTTGTTGTGAAGATGTTGAAGAAGATGCACCTACTTGTTCCAGTGCTGCCCTTACGTCTTTCAGAGCCCTGCCAGAAGAAGCATCCATTGGTGAAAAAGCCGTCCTTGCCTTGAATGCAAAGGCAGACGCCATCGCTTCTGGAACTAAAAAGTCTGAGTCAAACACCTTTTCGAACCCTTCGTGCGCGTCCTCTTGTTCTTTCACGTTTTGTGGAAAGGGGTCCGCTGTCTGCGTCACAGACCTTTGTCGACTCACTTCACCTGTTCGTTCTTGAAGTTCGACTAGAAATTTGTCAACCGTCTGTCCACGCTGGGACTCAGAAGACTCCACAAAAAGGCGATTTTGATTGTGTATTTGATCCTGAACCTCGCTGACGGCGTGATAGAGTCCTGACACGAAATCGCAGATCGCTTTATGTCGTTTCTCCGACTTTTGTGTAGCGCTCAATCCTTTGCAGTGGGCGTTCGCAACTTTTCGGACTGCAGGGATCCACATGACCGCCTGCGACAGAGATATCATCCAGCATTGGTTCCCCTCATTGACGATGCCCTCTTTTGGCTGGTGAAAGGCAAAAACTGAACTGGATATACTAGATGTTCCTGGCGCAGGTTGACGCGTTCGCGTTCGCGTAGCACCTGATGAAGTCGCCTGTGGCGGATTCATCAGTTTTGACTGATCCTGCCAAATTTTCTTCAATGGAGCTGTCAGGTGAGCTAGCCGACTTTCTAAAGATGGCGGAGCGTCTCTATCGATATGACGCATAGGCCACCTAGTACTCGCAGCCCGTTCTGTCTTACCGATGTATTCTTCAAAGAGGTTGCGTAAATCTTCAGCTCGTTGATGCCAAGCCGGTTTATCTCCTGTTGGTGAGCAGGCTTCAGCAGTCTCAGGACCTTCAGGAGCTGTCGCGGCGATGAGCTCAGCAACAGCGACCGCCAGATCTTCAGTCCTCATGTCTGGAAGGATGGTCACGTCCTTTGTCACCGCAAAATCACCACCTGTAGCAAGTTGTTGTTGAAGTTCTATGCATACCTTTCTCAAGGCAGCTTTAGTGGTCCTCGTCGCCTCCGATCTCTTGGAGGCCAGTACTTCGTCTCGTGCTTGCCTATACTGGGTCCCCAATTTTTCCCGTTTTTCCTGCAAGCCTGTTTTTCGATTTTGCATTTCCACGACTTGAGGTTCCAACACTTGACCTGACGTTGTTTCCAGCACCGAGATGAAAGCTCTCAAGATAGTAGGATTTTGTAAGGCTGCTTTTGCACTGTTGTGGAACTTTTCGGTCCGGGAGCCTGCAGGAGCAGCTAGAGCTTCGCGAAATGACTGATAAAATGATCTGGCTTGTTGCCGCTTTTTGTGATCCTCTTGTTGGGCTGTCTCTGAAGATCCTAGCGATGGAGTTGTCGAAGTACTCGAAGATGTAGAGGAGGAGATGAAACCTAAAATTGCTGCTGTAACAGACGAAGTGACCTCATGAAACGACTTGGCCGCACTCTCTAGTGCATGGGTCGCCCTCTCCATAGGTGTTTGGCCATAAGACACTACACCACCCAGCAGTTGTTCTGGTCTCGTAATGCTCTCAACCATCACAATCGGAAACGCTGCCTCTGAAGGCACTCCTCCAGGTAAAAGTTGATGTTGCGGCCCACCAAACAGCATCAGAGCTGCCATCAAAAGGACTTTGTAAAATTTGCGCGACTTGGCCTGGCGGATGAAGTGGAAAGTTCCTCCAGATTTTCTTTTCCCTCCGCCTCCACTTGCTTCATCGTCTTCTAGCTTCGCGTAAGCTGTCACTTGTTCGAGCAGCTGTGGCATCTTGTGCTTCGCAGTCGCACATGCGTTCGAACTCTGTTGTAGCACACTTAAGACAATGTCGTCGAAATCAGTTCCCAGAATGTCACCCCGTAAGACTTGATCAACTCGCGCATCGATGCGCACCACTTCATTAGCTGAGAGGACGCCCTCTTTGATCAACTGCGCAGCTGCAGACACTGTCGGCAATGTCACCAACGACTCCAACTGGTGCTCATACAAGACCAAAGGATTAGGCTCTGCACGTGCCGCAGACCCTGCCGTGATGACCTTCTCACGCAAGTGCCTGCCTAAAGCTTGTCGCTGTGATTTTCGTTTCATTGATTTCAGTGCGTCAGTTGCGTGTGCTTTGAGCAAATGGAATTGCAGCAATCTTGCCTCGAACAAAAAGGCAATTTGTGCGTCTTCAAACAACAACTTATCGCCAGGGCGCACGAAATGCAAAGCTTTGTTGCCACTCCCCGATCCCGGATGAATCTGTTGACGCCCACAACCATCAGGCGACTTCGTGCGCACATAGAGCAAGAAATCAGGTACGTACTTCGTCTTTCGATCCTCAAAATCAATAGGAGAAAGCGCAACTTCATTGCACCGTAAAACTTCAGCTGGCGCGATTACACGGAAATCGATCAACAGTCGAATAAACGCCTCATACGCCGCCAAAAAACGTCGTAGACCACGTCTGTAGGACTTGTTGCTTGGATCGAGACCGTTCACTGATGCGACAAAGTTTCGGACAAAGAAGAGGCAACGTTTTGAGCCACAACTGGAATCTAAGAACGGGTTCTCGAAGAACAGTTCGATGAACACGTGACTTCGAAAACCGGAAAACAGCTTCAAAATCTGGTACTTCAAAATCGCATCTTCTTCAACCGCATCAAGGACAGCCATGACGTCTGGGTTTTGGAATTTTCGGGGGTCTACTTGTACTTGGTGCGTCAAACTACTTGCAGCATTCGCAACATCCTGAGCACCAGCATCGTCTTCATGCTTCGGCAAGTTCTTGTAGTATGCTTGCATCAACGGGAAAATGTCGTACAGTTTCCTTTCGTTCTTCTCTAAAATCGGGTACAAAACGCGCAGATCTCGGTCGATGCGGAAGTACTGCAGATGGTCGAGTCCCCATAGTTGGTTTTCGGACTTGGCAAATTCGCGTACGAAGTTCACAGCTTTACCATTGCTCATCATGAAGCTGCCAAATTGGAAGTCCTTCTCCAATAAGCCAACGCTTCCAACAAACCCTTCTAGGTTCTTGATCAACCATTGCGAGCCTTGTATTTTGATCTGACGGGCCTTGAAGAAACTCGACTCCTCAAACTTCTGCTTGACCAAAGTTAGACGTTTCTCAGCTCTCACCCTCACGGCTGGATCCACATTAGCTGCCGTAAGTGTATCCACGTCAGCATTTAAGACTGGAGCGTAGATCGCGTGTGCTCTTCTGTCTGTGACTTCCCGCACATCTTCGAGGAGTTGTTCTTCTCTCCGCAGTCGCCGTCTGGCTCGCAGCAACGCCTCTTTGAGATAGTCCTTCATGAACTTTCTGGGCGCTTCCTGGAAAACTGCAGTCCAAAAACCTCGATTTCTTAGTTCCAAGGTCGCACGTTGGTACAAAGCAGCTTCGGAATAAGCGGGAAACTTGCGGATGATCTCCTCATAGACTCGGTCTTGGACGTCGGTGGTCAAAACTTCCATGGGTGTTTTGTTTGTGCCACGTTCGTAGTTGTTGGAGCCTAGCAAAGCAGCCAGTTTGTAGCGCTCTGCGACACCTTCAATCCAGCCATAGAAATTGCCTTCGGCGATACGAGTGTCGAACTCATGCCACAACTGGCGAGACAAACGACCGTATTCGCGATCCAGTGTGGCATAGAGCTTTGCGAAAGCTACTTCAAAACCGCCTCGACTCACTGGACCCGAGTCTCCGTCTTCGTTTCCCCTTCCAGCCAGTCCGGCTAAAACGTCTTCATTCATGTGCACAAGCTCCATTTCGTTGAGCCAGAACGCAAATTTGTTCAACAGGTTGTGCTTCTGCAAGTCGACGTATTTTTCCATTTTGGCGCCGCTGCGAGAGAATAAGCCATGTGCTAAGTCAACACCTTGCACTCGCTCTTTCAAAGCATTCACCAATCTGCCGTAGTCGACCATGAACTGCTGAAAAAAAGCCTGCTCAAGTTCGATTTTCGGAACTTGCTTCTGCTGAAAATCAATCAGCGACTCAAAACTCTGATTCATTTGCCTGGAGTCCATCTCCGATTGGTCGATAGGAGATTGCGAAAAACTGAACGCCTCACAAGCTGCAGCGACAGATCGAGCACCGTCTGTACAGGGCTTACTTTCGACCACAGTGGCTGAACGTTGTAGCAAAACTTCCTTTTCCTGTGCCTGCTTCAGTTTTTTCTTCACTTTTCGGATCTCCTGCGCCAATGCCTTTCCTTGGTCGTCATCTTCAGCCCACTTTTTCGCAAAAGTCCGTAGTCCAAATCGGTCTTCCTTTGGGGGATCAAACATTTTCTGCAAGCGCACATGATCTTTAATGCGTGAAAATAGATTCTCAGCTTTGTCATCGAGATAAGCGTCAACGGTATCTTTCGAGGCAAGACGGTGACTGTCATCGGCAGAGCCAGACACAACGCCTCTGGCTTTAGCAGCTGCTTTTCGTTTCTTCGAAAATTCTTCTATTCGCGTTACCCACTCTGGAGTCGTTTGGAGAGTACGAGTACCCGAGTCGTCTAGCCAATGCGAATGCGGTGTGGCTACAGACTGTCCGAGCATCGTTGTCTGCAGGAATCGGTGGAAGATTTCCAGTGGAGACTTATTTGCTTCCTCTGCTTCATCTAGTGGCGCAGATATCAGCGTAGGATGACCTCCTCCTACAGTATTCGTAGATAGTCCTTCACCACCGCGCATTTCATTCTGCTTCTTATCCCATTCTCGAAAAGCGGTCAACATTCGAAGTGCGCGATCCCTATCACTGCGAAACTTTTGAAAGGCTTCATAGTCGACACGGCATCGAGTCCACATAAACTCAGCGGAGAGGATTTGTTGAATGGTCTCGACGTTATTCAGGGCTCCTGAGGAAATGGCTGCTACAGATGCGCTCTTTACAATTTCGACTGAGTCTGAGAGGTCAGATCTGAGAACGACTTGAAAAGAAGCACTCGATGCATCAGTCGCGCGAGTTGCAACGTCTCGCTGGTGCATGTCCCTTCCCATTCCATCCTTCAGTGTCTTCACCTGCTCAATCAATGCAGCCTCTTCGTGATGCTTTGTCGTTCTTCTCGCTACATCGTCTGCTAGTGACAAGTCCAAAAATTTGAACTTACTCGGTGACGTAGCTCCACCTGTAGAAGAAGTCGGTGCTTCAATCCTCCCGTTATCAAAAGCACCCAGACAATCGCCAACACGCTGTTTGAGAGCCGCTTCGTGGTTTTCTGATTCTCTCACCAAAAAGGAATGCAGGCGTCTAGCAGATTTGCGCCACAAGTCTTCTACAGGGAAAACTGAGGTTGCGCCACCTTGTTTCTTCAGCCCTTCAGCCACGAAGTCCTCTAGCTGTTGCGTTACTTCCAACAGTTTGTCCAGTGCGGATCCGAATGCGTTCACTGCACGTTTTTTACGGGCTACTGCAGAATCGGAAGGTGATTTTCCTGGTGGAAGTGAACTTGAAGATAGTGGCGTAGTTGTAGGATCACTAGGCGCAGGAGTGGCCCGCCCAGTCCCACTCTCATCTTGTTCCATCGACTTCGTCAGCTTCTCATCGACTTCCATCAAAGTTTTCTCCATTTGCGAAACCTCGTCTTCGAAAGCGGACAGAAACATCGGGAGAGGACCGTCGCGAGTCCTTGGTCCACTCGAGGACGTCGTCGTGCTGCCCGTAAAAATAGTAGTTGTAGGCTCTACTTCTCCCCCGAGACCATGATCAGTGTCATCAATACCAGCACCAACTCCAATCTCCAATTCAGGATGATTTGACCTAGTTGCAGGACAAAGCACCTCTCCTGAGACTGATCCTCGCATTGTTGCTAGCTCTTTCGAGAGTAGGATTTGCGGACCGAAACTCGCAGGCTCATTGATGCCTTGCATCGGAGTAGCGCCAGGAGCATTTTCTCGTCGAGAAGCTCCTCTGGCATGATGATCTTGTTGTTCGAGTTCTTCGTGCGAAGACCCTACGTTTTTGATCGTCCAGATGTTCGAAGCAGAAGTGTACTGTTGACTTGCAATTTGCGGTCGCTGCATAATTTCAGCACGCTTCAGGAAAGAAAGGACAGCTTCAGCTCCACTTGGGGGTGGCGGTGGCGCGCGCGCTACTTCTGGTAGCTCCACAGCTGCGCGAAAATGGTGGGCGTCTTCTAAAGCGACTTTGAACTCGTTCTTCCAACGATCAAGATGAAACTGCAAGGAATTCGTGAGTTCTTTTAGCTGGGAGGTCCAGGTAGTTGTTGCGGCAGGACTGGATGCAGAGACTGGATATGAAGCAGCCGCAGCCGGAAATGCAGAGGTAGGTGGAGCAGGTGCAGGTGTCTGCGAAAACAATCGCTTTGCTTGCACACTCTCTCGATGGGCTTGCAATGCCTTCTCTTTCTCGCCAATTTCAGCCTTCAATTTTTCTATTTTCTTACGCGTCAGAAGCAAATCTTGTCCGGTTGCACGGGTTACCATGAAAGCTTGCATCTTTTTAGGCTTGCCATCGTTGTTGTACTCGCCAAGATCGGCAGCAATGCTTTGTCGGCGCCAATCCGTGACATACTGGCCAGACCCAGGTCGTCCATCCCGTGCACTGCGTCCAAAAGCTTGTTCTTCAACGCGCTTGCCACCTCTGTCTCCTGGTACGTAACCAACTAACACATACAATCCGTAATTGCTTTCCACAACAGAGCTCAGACTCAAATCCATGCCGCGCCCTCCGATGTTCGTTGTGATCAGAATTTCACCCGGTTGCATCTTACGTGGACTCGCGATCGGGTTGCCTTCGTAGACCGTCTTGAACTGGTACAACTTCGGCTGAACAGCTTCTCGCAGATGCGGATGCTTGGAAAGTACTTCGTAAAGCATCTGCACATCTTTGATACTCTCCACCACAATCAGCGCAGACCTGCGAACATCACCCAATGAATTCTCGTGGATGATCGATCTCGTGCGTCCAGTGGATTTCTGGATGATAGTTTCCTCTAAAGTGTTCCACGATCGGAAACGGAAGCGACGCTTGACAGCACTACGTAGATCTTCAGAATCTTGAAGATCTTCTTCAAGTCCTGACTCCTGCTGTTCCCACTCTTTCTTAGTGGCTTCGGCGACTCGCAAATATACGTTGTTTCCTGCAATTTCCTTCTCCACAGCTTTCACCTCTTTCATGACATCCCAATACTTGCCGACCAAGCCCTTAGCCTTTTTCCAATGCTTTACCAAATTTTGGGCATCAGCAGCCTCCCTGGAAGCAGAAGCGTCTCTTGTGTTCTTACTCCCGGCGCCTCCGGCATCGCCATCACCGTGATCATCCCCAGCACTAATCAAAAAGCCAGCTCTCGACAATTGCTGCTGTTTTTGTTTCTCAACAATTGCTGCTTGTAGCTGCGAAGCTGAGCTCTTTTCCATCAAGGCCTCGGCTAGCAAGTTCAACATGTTCGAGTTTTGCCCATGATCTGGTGACGAAGTTGTCATGGATGTAGGAGGTCGTCCAGCAGGAACATCAGCCGGAGCAGGAGGCGTGGAGGAGTAGCTGCTGAGCGTCTCTTGGCCTTCTTCCAAAATTGTTGTCTCACGCATCACCAGCGTCTTGAATAACGCATGCAACATCGGCGTTTCCTTTAACAGACCACTTTCGAGATTGACGAAGTCACGTCGCACTTTTTTGTTCTCTTCCGTGTTCCCGAATAAGGCTGTAAGGCCGTAGTTTGTGCTCTGGATGAAGCGTTCGATGTTTCCGACGTCTCCGATGACCGCTGCAAGGACTTTTTCGACTTTGTTCAGACTGGAGCGCAACTCTCTCGCGTAGGCGTTGTGCTTGTCCATGAGTTCTTCCCTCTGTCCTTCCAAGTTCAAGCCACGCAGTCTGAACTTCTCGTATCGGTCCACGAAATCGGTTTGGACTTCAGGAAGTTTCGCTCCTCGTCTCAGGATCTCACGGGCAAAGGGGTTTAAGGCGAACGTCAAAGATTCTGCTATTCCGTCTACCCAGACTTGATCCTGCACAGGCAATTGTGTACCATAGTAATCGAGCATCTCGTCACCGTGACCAGCTACATCACCCTGCTCCAAAAGAATCAAAGAGTTTGCTTCTGCTTGGTTGGAGATCTTGAGCTTCTCTGCGCCCATGACTTGAGAATCCAAGATCACGCTGGGCATTTGGTAGTAGCGTCTCTGCTCATATCGTGGCAACTTGAAGAAATCGACCTGATAGATGGAGCGTAGGAAGCTCTTTTCTTGTCGTTGCCCAAGCGTTCCCGTCATGCCGAACATGAAGGCGTATTTCTTCAAAAAACCCATGTTCGAATCAAAATAAGCCTTCAATCCTAGCGGTTCCAATTTCCCCAAATGCTTCAACTGTAGAAATTGGTGCAAACCATTGCTCCAGCGTGTTGTGGGGTTCTCCTGTCCAGTGTCCTTCTCCATAGGCAACACTTTGTCGTCATGTTGAGAACCCTTACGGTCTGGCTTTGCTTCTTTCTTCAGTGGGTCGTTGGGATCAACTGTGGGACCTTTTACCGGTGTGGCCATGCGCTCTTTGAAAGTCGATGAAACTTTGTCGAAATCTTTCCCGCTCATTGCTGTGCGACTACGCGTTAGCTCCTTGTTCAAGTCCTCCTGAGTCGGCGCCATCAACTCGTTCCACTTCGCCCCAGCTCCCGAAGGAAACAAATAGTCGTCACTCTCCCGCAAAGACAAAGCGAAGAAGGCGTTCTCAACCAAGACTGAGATTTGTTTGGGGTTCAGCATCATGCGTCGCAGCAGTGGATTGCCTAGAGGAATTTCGAATCGATTCCGACGAATCTCGTCTAACACTTGGTCAGTCAGTTGGGCAATCAGAACTTCATCTTCCCAAGGATCTTGACCCATCAGTTCTGCATCATAAGGGATTTCGTTCACCATCTCCCAGATCCGGACAAGAACAGGTGCACAACGTTCTAGATCCTTCACTTCGTGAGAAATGTAGAGCGACTTGTCAGCATTGTCGATAGTGAGACTGTCAACTTCGTCGATGACGACGACCTGTTCGACACTCATGCGGTCTTTGGCCGGGACTAAATTGTCCCTGATTTTCTGCTTGTCGTACTCAGATAACAGAAAATCGCGTTGGTAAGCACCGATCTCGCCATATACGATCTTCGTGCGCTGATACATGTAGTGCCTCGCAACCGGTGAGCTTTCGTACACATGGCGAGCGTTGGAATCCGCATTTATCCCTAAAGTCGAGTAAAAGTCGTTCCATTCTGCCCACTGATCTTCGGCAAGGACTCGATTGGATGTCATCATGTCAACGCCATATTTGTCCGTTGCCGCTAGTGCGACACTCAGTAAAGCCACCACATGCGACTTCCCCTCGCCCGTCTCAACTTGCCCAAGGCGTCCGCGAAGCTTGTTCTTACTAGGATCTGCCACAGTGCTGCTATTGATTCCGTTCATTTTTGGACAGGTGAGGCAAAATGGATCGTCTTGTTCTCCAGATCCTATGTCTCCATCTACTTCCCCTGAAGATGTCCTACTCATTCTCTTCGCCGGTCTCGGCAAAGACTCTTCCCGAACCAGCTTGTGGACTCGTCTCATTAGCTGTTCATGCTGATCGGCAGAAGCAGTCTGAGCAAATCCAGAATCTTCGTCGTTGACATCCTCTAGATCTTCCCCATCGGCTCCAGTCGCTTTAGACCTCCCAAAGGCATCCAGAAACAGAATCACTGCGATAACCTGCACATCTCTGGCGAACTGGTCTCTAGAGATCAGCAAAGCTCGCTGCGTCACAGCTATCAAAGTTTGGAAATGCTTAGCACGCCACGAGAAAATCACAGCTGGATCCCTGTTGAAGAAATACTGCCCAAATCCTCGAATCCATTCTTGAATCTCGTTCGGGGTCCATTCACAAACTGGCTTCGCATCTCCAGCAAGCTTCTCCAAAGCGGCATTGCCGGCAAAACGCGTGAGACGTCGTTGTTCCTCCCTCTCACGCTTTTCGGGATCGGAGGAAGCTAAAGCCGCGTGGACCCTTGCTTCAACAGTGTTAATGCTGTCATCGTCGTCGCCAGAAGTGTCTCCTTTACCTCCACCAGATGACTTAGACACACCAAAGCTCTTCGCAGCTGGTTCGTAGAACTGCAGATGAATCCTGCGTAAAACCTCAGTCAGGCGTTCTTGAAAAACGTTCTTTTTGGCCGTTGAAAGCATCGGTCGCACACCACCAACGCCTGCAATGACAGAGGACTTCTTAGCTGCCACGGCCTCGCGATGCCTCTCCTCTGCTTCTCTCTGAGCTCTTTCTTGCCGTAACTCGAATTCCAACCTACTGTCGTTCCACACATTCGTATCACCGATGCGCAGAACCAAGTCCGCACGTGCTTTGTCTCCCTGTTCCACCTTATGCGACGAGCAGTACTTTCGCAACACAGAACGTAACAAGTTCAACTCCTTCTCCTCCTGCTCAGCGACCCAGACGGCAAAGTCACGTTGAATTTTTGACGCGCTCAAAGACAAAGCAGCAGCGCGTTCACGGTCTGTTACATGGGACAATGCTGCAGCGTTCTTTGCATCGGCCGCATCTTGTTGCATCGTGCGTCGTTGAGCTTCCTGAAAAAGCTTACCAGCCATGGGCGAAGATCCTACCCTCTTGGCAGCGGCCAACATGTCTGTGTTGGACTGCGCAGAGTTGATCCTCTGCTGAAGTCGTGACTGTTCCCGGCCAACCTCCAAGTTTTGCTTCCGAAATGCTTGCTCCAGCATGTCATTATACCAGACTTCGCGAGTGTAGGCTTGATCGGCGCCCTCCACGCGATTCTGAGCTCTTCGAGCAGCATTGTTCTCATCGTCGCTGTCTTCGTCGCCAGCACGTTGCCTGGCCTGTTGAGCCTGAAACTTAGCGTCTGCGATATCCTTCTGAATGTTCTTCCTGTCTTGCTCTTTCTGAAAACTATCGCTCGCTTCCTTAGCAATGTCCGTGAAAATCTGCTCTAAAATACCGCCTTCGCCGGTCATCGGCCGATCAGAGTCTGCTGATGCTGCTCCACCAGTTTTCGCATATCCACTCGGCTTCTCTTTGGTCGGAGCCCCAATGTAGTGATCCCCAAAAGTTGCTGCCGTGTACTTGCCAGTCACCACTAAGCCAACCAGAAGGCCACCCAGATCGTTGGAACGAACACGAAATTCTTGTTCGAGTTCATCCAGCTTACTCTTGTCATACGCAACACCAGGACCACCAAGAGTTATCGCGTAGCAATCGCGTTCCCACTGGTGTCGGTCCTTCATCAGGCGACGCTCTTTTGGTCGAAAAATCGAGAACTTCCTGTCCAATTCCTTGCGAGCGTTGAGGAAGTGGGACTGCAACAGCACAGGTCCGATGAATTTTGGAACGCCTTTCTTCTTCATCGCTTTAGCCGCGGTGGCTCTTGCTTCAGGAGTGGGGGCAGAAGATGAAGTCGGCAATACTGACTTCTCCAATTCGTCTTCATGTGCCTTAGGCTCAAACAACGCCTGGTAGGGAACAAGTTGAGCAGCCTTGGACGTGGATACTGCAATAGCACCATCAACATCAGCTACATCAATTGATGGCACCTCATATGGCGGCAACTGTTGTAGAAGCTCTAACGACAACTCATTCAAGACATATTCACCTGTCGAAAATCGTCGAACTATCTCCCAAAGGGCGTCGTACAAGTTTTGTCTGTAGAATGGATCGGGGTTCTCAACTACACTTTCTGGATTTTCATCGTTCGCAGGAGCAGGCGGAGGCGCATCTTCTGCGTTAGAAGAAGCTGCTGAAGCAGGATCTTCTGGTACTGGAGCTGGATCTGCATCTTGTTTAGTACCTTCTCGTTGCTCTTCTTCACCTTCACCTGTGTCTTCTCGTTCATCTCCCGGTGAAGTCGCTTGCAGCACAAGCGGCATCGTTTTCTCCATGAGCCAGTTGAAACGGCGCTTGATATGACTTCCTACTGGCAATTTCTGCACTGTCACCAAGGCGTTCGTGAAATCCGCAATCGTTCCTCTTTTGTTCCCGAATTTGAATGGTGGAACTCCGTTTCGCGTCAACAGCTTATTGAAGTGGACTTGCTGCAAGGACAAAATCCACATGAACAGACTGGCAGGTTCTAAGACACGCTTTTGGAGTTCGCAGTCGCCGAAAACTCTGGTCTCGTCGTCAGCCGTTGGCTGTGTCGAATACTCCAAGACATCGGCTGCTGCTTCGATCACTTCTAGAAACAACGTCGCTCTCGCGTTGAACGACGAAAACTGCTGTCCGCTTCGACGAAGTAAGACAAGCTGACGTGCTTGTTGGACATCCTCAGCCTCAACGTCGGAACCAAGCAAGTCGGAGAGTTTCTTGGAAAATAAGCTGAGATAAGCAATGGGGCAGGCCAGCTTGGATTCTTTTTCCTTTTCCTTTTGCTGTTCCTCGAAGTGCCAGGTTGCAACGTCTGCATCCCGAGATCCAGGAGGCATGGAAAACATCACATTGCTTCTACGCGTCTGACTTTGACTGTGGACGTCGACACCAGAACCACCAGAACTACGACCTGCTTGTTGAGATGGACCCTCTTCATCAGCATTCGCTTCTTCTTCGATTTCTTTGATGTCTCTTTCAATCAAGGACTGCAGCACAGACATTTTTTGGTTGATGAAGATCATCTTTTCTTCGACGATCATCGGTGCTTCGTCCGAAGCCTTAGCTGCATATTCCGCAGTTCGTTCCAGCATTCGGGACAAGGACATGACAGCGTGATTCACAAAGAGCGTTTCGTCCAATCCTTTCATTTGATACTTCTCGCGCACGACGAATCTCTTTTGCTCCGCTTCTCCAGCATCGCTTTTGTCCTTTGGCACAGCATCGACTTCGGATTGTTCTAGAGGAATTTGCAATTCCCTGACGACGCAAAAAGGACCGTCTCTCTCAGAACCTGCGAACCGACCCTTGTACTTCCCAGCACCTCCTCCTGCTTGGAACCTGTAAGCCCGCTCATTCGCAATCGTACCACTCTGCAAAGGCCCCTCTAAAACTGAGTAAGTGAACAACTCAAGATCGTCGCGGAACTGCGACAGCTTCCCTGCAACTTCGCTTGCTTGTGTTGCGACCTTCATGATCTCACTGTTGCATCCCTGGTCCCTTCGAGACCGTTCCAGCTCTCTTTGTAGCGGGTTCGCGACACTAGGAAGAGTGAGAACGCTTAAAGATGGTGTTGTATCACCACCTCCTCCCGAAGAAGCTTCGGGCAATAGCGCATTCCGATACTCTGTCGCGTAGCCGTTGAAGAACACTGCAAAACGCTGCAGTACACGCGTCTCAAACATCACTAATGATCGATAAGGGTCTATTTCCCCGTTTTCCCGAGATTCTTCGTGCAATTCTCTAGCCACCGCCACAGTATAGTCCGCTCGCTTTTGAGATACCAGCATTTTTAACCGTGTTTGCTGCAGTAGTCTGATTTTCTCCTTGTATTTCCTTTGAGACAGTTGACGGCGCCACACAGAGTACAGTTTCGCATACGGTGCTACTCGGTCATCGTTTTCGCGCGTTGGTAGTTCTTCATAAGGAGAAACGTTTAGACTCCCGAGTCGGTTCGGAAAACTTAGAACACTCTGCAATTTCTGTTGCACATCCAGACGCTGTAGGTCATACCTTTTGCGACAAAACAGGTGCCCGAAAGGCGCATATGACAACTGCTCAGCTTCTTCATTGACTCGCTCGCGAAGTGCGCGCGACGTTTGCCGGGTCTCAGAAATTGGTAAGGTCCTGTCCTCATAGAGGACGACGCCTATCTGCTGGAGAGCTGTTTCTGCAGAAGCAATTTTGACACCAGAAGATGGATCTCGCGTACCAGGTTGTTGAGGTGCTTGCTGCTGCTGTCCTACTGCCCCCTTCGCTACCACGGTATCTTCATCCAGACGATCCAAGCGATCCGTCTCCTCAAACGCGAAGGACTCCCTTAGCACATCCGTCTTTAGTTCAAACAGCAAACGGTGCCATTCTAACCGCGGAGCTGACCATAGAATGGAGAGGATTTTCTCGGACACAATGCGTCGACGATGTGCGACCTTCTGGGCACGAAAGAGAAAAGTATGGACGTCTGCGAGATTTCGCTGTGCGTCTTGACTGCCAAGGAAAGCCACTGGTGAAATAAACGCCTTCTTGTTCTTGTTTAGACTCGGTTCGCTTACGGCGACATCAAGTGCGCCAAGCCAGGTTGACGCACTACTGTAATCTTGACGGCCAGCTGCACTGACAGCTCTGGGATAAAGGCATACCTCCTTCCCTGGCTTGTTGTGCTTAGATGGAAAGAACAGGAGCAAACAAGGCCTGCTGTCTTCTTCCTCTCCGCGGTCATCAGCCTTAATTATCACAGGTTCTACCTGCATTCGGTAGTGGAAGCTCTCCCTCTCCA